GATGCCCTGTTAAGGGGCATAAGGCTATACCAAGTAAGAAATTATTTAATAAAATGAAATTCTGTTTGTAAATAAATCTATTATACTTTTATATTATACTCTAGGTATAAGCTAGTTTTTACATAATAAATAATCCCAATCAAAGAGTATTTAAAGGCCTGTTTGACTTCCCCCAGCGATCGCTGCCTGATGAAATAACAAGGCAACATCGCAGCTGCGTGCACATCAGTGACGCCCTCATAATCAAAGGGGATCCCCCTCACTCCAATGCCAAACAAATCCTCCCAAGACTCAAGGCTTGCGCAGTCGCAGCCTTTGCAATCAGCACAGAGATGAAATTGAATAAAAAAAGAATCACAAAAAGCCAGCAGCACTTAAACGAAAATTATTTAACGCAAAGCGTGCGAATGTTTACTTAAAAGCAAAGAGCAGAGCAAACGACAAACAAGAAGCGAGTCTCCCAGCCAAGTTCAAGTGGAGACGCCTGCAGATATATGTTAATTGGACAAAGTCCATTTCTGGGAAGAGAATGGTGAGGGTATTAGAGCACAGACTTGGATGATAAAAGCCACAAATTGAAGCTTAAATATACGAGTAAACTAAAGAGAATTTTTTATTAAATACAAAAAGAAAAGATTTTTTATAATAAAGATTTAATATTTATATTAAAGCCAAACTGTTACGCAGTCGGTTAGTCTCAAACTTGGCACAGAATCATAAAGCGTAGCCACTGGGCAGGGGAGGGTTTGAGTTGCACGCAATGAAAGGCCATTTGAGGGCAGTTTGATAACGGTTAACCAAAGTAACATAGCCATATTTGCCTCCCCCCACCCCTCCTTCTCATAAAGACCCCCGCTCTGCCCCTCTTCTTAGCGTATTTCAATCAAAATCAAGTGCAGATCTCCATCAGAGCCGTGTTCGTGGCTTGCATGGAAATTACACGCACAAAACACACAAACTAATTTTCCAACAAATTAGACGCGCAAGTAGATGCCACACCCCCTGCCAGCAAGCAGCCCCTTGTTCATAATTTATTCGCCATTCTTCTCAGTTTTTTTTGTGCGCTTTTTTATTGTCCAGCGCAATTCGTGTGCGTAATTTGCCTCTGTTAAGTTTCATTCGCTTTCCTTTTTCCTGGGAAAACTTTGCTTTGATGGGGTGCCTGGGAGGTTGGTTGGGGGGCGGGTTACTCCAGCGGCATGCTGATTTGGGCGCTTGATAATTGCCCGGGCAGTAGGCAAGGACCTCGAACGAACTCCCCTCGCAGATGTCGTCTCTGGGCAAATGTGCGTGAACATGCGTCGAGACTCTGGATTTCTTTTTGGCCGAAAAGCTGCATTTGATGCGAGAACATTTTCCGGGCGCATGCATGGCCGCACATCAGGAGGGGTTCGAGTGCAGGCCGGGTCACGTGACCTTAATTAGACCTGCCAAAAACCAAAAAAAAAGAACAAGAAAGGAAAACAACAAATGCTACAGTCGCAGGGACTCGTAACCCTTCGGCCGACTCCAGCGTTCCTTTGTGCCGCCTTGCGGCATAGCTCCTTTGTGCACTTTAAATGGTTAAGCACAATTTCCAGGCGAGTTCCCTGGACTTGAAGCTGGAATTGCCTCCAATTACGGGTTTATGCAATTAACTGCGACCAGCGGCGGCCGCGAAATCAGTGGATGCCATCACAATCATTTCATCGAGCTGCGCTTTTCGTCTTCACTCGCTTTGTGCACCTCCAAGAGGGCCCTGCGAAATGTAATAAATTTCAATTATTTACTTAAATGCACATTAAGCTGAATTGCCACCGTCTGTCCATGTCTGAGTGGCGCGGAAATGTCTGATAATGAAAACTGCGACCGGTTCGGGCCTCGAGCTTATTATTAAAAGGTTATTTGCATTCAACGCGGCCTGGGGCAGTACCTGGTCAAATTGGAACCTAACGAGTTCATTAAAGCTAAACGGGGGTCCATACGAAAGTATTGTTATACCGAAACGTAAAGTAAATACTATAATTGTATACAAAAATATTGAGCTTTTATTTGTAATTTATTAAATTTAAAATACTGTTTTAAATGCCTAACTACTATTAACATTAAAGTTTCTTGGAAAAATTTAAGGTTATATTTTAAGCTTTTGTCGTGCTTTATCCTTCATTTTTCACTGCGTAATACCAAGGACATAAAGGCAGATTTACGCTTAATCACACACGAAGGATGCATATTTTTCTGGGCCAACAGAAGAGCTCATTCGGCACCAAAGCACATTGGAGCAAGTATGTTTTTTACTTCTCTCAAGGAACTCGGAAAAAAACTAAATCATAAAAGAAGAAAGATAAAATAAAGACAACGTAATTCGAAACAATATTATGTAAGCATTTATTCATTATTTTAAAGATTACCTACTTTTTAATAATTGTTTTTGTCTTACCTCCCAAGACACTTTAGGAGCACATATCACCTATCAGAAGTTTTTAAAATTTTCTACAATTGCCTCATTGCTTTAAAAATATTCCATAAAATCAAGTCTTAGCCCTGGCATATTTTTATACTTTTTGTAGAAAATACAAAATAGTATAATTGATATTTAACCAGTGTTCGTAGGACCAATGTTGTTGCTGGCAGGACGAGGTCCCGGTCTCTACCTGGTGGCACGGTTGCTCATTCGCATGCACAAACGCAGACGCTGGCTTTGTTCATTAGAAGCTCCATAAGAGCGCCATGCTTAAACCTTGTTTGCCTCCGTGCCCGTAGCCCGTAGCCCTTAACCACCGAAACGCTCTCAGATTCATCCGTGGTACTTGCGGTGCTTCCAGTCTTTTTTTTTTTCTCTGAGGGTCCTGCCTCTTTTTCGGGCACGAAGCGGACCGCCTGGTGCGAGCACTTGGGGCTTTCCCGCCCGCTGTGTGTGTGGCCCCATTAGCCAAAGGATTTATATTACAAGCTCACACATAAAAAGCACCGCAAGATATTTTATTTTATGTGAATTTAATTGTAATTTTACTACGAAAGGCGAAGGTTACTCAACATATTTTTACTTGGCCTTTCTTGCTCTAAGGAATGTGCTTTTTATAATATCCCAATTCCGAGGAAAAGTCGGTCATGCCTGAAAAAAAACCAAAACACAATAAACCCACAGGGGGAGGCTCAGCAAAACACATCAATAAACAGTAGGGATCAAAGCATAATTACATATTTAAAGTAATCCAGAGATTCACGAAAATGAATTATATATATTTTAAAGAATTATTTGCCTTTAATTATTTACTGGAAAAAAGAAACTCTTTTAAATTTTCGAGACATACTTTAAAAGTGGAAAACAAGTATGTTTGGTATATAAATAAAACTAATAGTTTATTTCACAAGTACTTTTAAAAAGTAAAATTAAAGTAGAATATAGAAGGACATATATTGCTTCTTTTGTCCATTGGTTCCTTAAGTACCCTTCTACACAATGGGTAAAAAAATTGTGATTTACTTGCTCGATATTTTCCTCATAAATACAATTTCGTCCCAGAAAGTTATTGCCGGTTACTGATAAAACCACACAAGTAGCACCTGTTTCTTCGGACAGTGAATTTCTTAGAATTACTTTGAAAGAAGAAAAGGAAAACTTGGAAAAGTTTTGAGTACAAATATCAACGGAAATATGGAAAACGAAGACCCTCCCCCCAGCACCATTCACCGACAAAGAGGCTCAAAGTGCGCACATCCTTGCACAGCCGGATTTTTGTAATGTGTCCTCGTTGTTGTTGTTGCTGCTGCTCTCAGGACTCTCACCCACACACACATCTCATCCACAGCCACGTGGAAAAGGGACAATTTGTTTAAAGGTAACAAACAATTTTGGCGCTCCCAATTTTTTGTGGTGAAGATGGGGGGTGCTCGGAATGCTTTGCATAAAGTTAAGCTGCAAAAGTTGAAAATATTTGTAGCCGCCGAGATATATACAATATTCATATACCCCCCGAAATTTAGCCTAATGCAGCAACAATAACAAAAGGCAAACAACAAAGATAAAGTTCAAAGGAAATGTGGCTCAGGAAAAGGCAAACGAAAAAGCGAGAGTGAGGGTGAAAAACAACAGAGCAAGGAGATGAAAAGTAAAACAAAATATTAAGAAAGTTATGCCACCCATATGAAAAGTTGTGCTGTGGCCCTTAACTTTTCCTTATTTTCCGAATGATAAAAACGCATCAGTTGCACATGCATTGCAGTCACACATATGTGGAAAATCTTTAATTTAAGGATACAAAGGTGTCCCGCTGTGACTCTCAGTGCCAACATAAACTAATAACTAATCCTATAAACAATGCTCATATTTTTCAATAGAATATAATACATTTTCCTTGATATTTTCTCTGTGTATGTATGCCTTCATTCAAAGTCTTGATTTCCTTCCATAAACAATTAGTTGAAACCCCGAAAATGGCCAACATAAATATTTTCACTTTGCTTTTATTCACTGAGTAAATAAAAATCAAGACAACAAAATAATTTGCATATTTTAGGGCGGTATTTTTGGCGCGCTACTTTAAATTGATATTACAAGAGCAATTTGTGTTAGCCGACGGGGAGGAAAATCGGCGGAGCAGGAGCAGGAGCAGGAGGAGGGGGAGTACATGGAAAAACTGTGCCACGAGTCTGTTTGTTGTCGCTGGAGCTGCGACGATGTTATTCCCACTTTTCGTTTCGTTTCAGTCGCTGGGGCGTGTTCATTCATTTCCTGTTGCGCCCTAAGTTATGCAAAGCGTATGGCAAAGTGAGACAGGATGCGGATGTGGATGTGGATGTAAATGTGCGAGAGGCTGAGGCGGGGGGGAACGGGCATTTCTGGAGGATGGAAACGGAAATGGATGCGATAACATGGATTTTATAGCAGCGAGATCTTGGTGTGGCTTAAAGACAAGATCTTAAACGGTGTGGAATCCAATGTCAGAGATTTTAATTTGTAAGATTTGTCTTTTAGTTCAAATATAAATGGTTACTTTTAGCCCTTAACTATTGATAAATTGTAATGTAAATCCGAATTTTATTTCATTTTTTTGTAAATATGAATCGCATTATAAACACAATATATATATTCTTTACAAGAGTTTGTCTCACATCCACACAATCTAAATGATACATTTATACATTCTTTGCCAATTTTCGCTAATTTATATTTCTTCCAAGTCGCGATGTCTCTGCAGGTGTCTTAGGGCTAATATCAGCTTGGCTTGAATCCCGCCATGAATTCCTTCTTAAATGATTCTTTGCTTCCAAAGAGGAGGCATTTACGTACCGGTCCATTAATTTTCTCTTGCCCAGGCGGCGAAAGTGACGAAAAGTTCCCCTGCAGGAAAGCCCCTCCGTCTGAGGAGAAACAGGCTCGGTCTGATTTCCGGCATCGTCCTCCTGTTCACCCTCAGAAGAGACTGGACTTGAGTCCTGCTTGAAGACTGGCATGTAGATATCGACGAATTGTCGCAGCCCCCGAGATGTGGAGCGGAGGTACATCCTGGCCGGCCTCACATTTGCCTCCTTCGCGGCCTGGGCCGCCCGCCTTACGGACTCACGGGAGGTCGTGCAACCCACCTTTAAGCGGGCAGGGCTGTCCAGGCTATCCAGAGAGTCGTCAGTGGTTTCCATGTCTTGGTTGAGGCTGCAGAAGCTACATTGCTGGCTGGAATTTCTGTAACAAGGACAATCCGGTGCAAAAGGATGTTCCATATCTGTTTTAGAGCGAAGACCAATATTTTTAACTGGACGATTTTCAACTAGTCTACGTAAAATTAAAAAAAACTTACTGACACATTTATGGCAGATGCCTGCTGAACACACAGATTTGCTACCTGTGGCGTAGGTTTTATTTACTCACCTATTAGGCATTTAAATTTTCCCCGTGTAACGCAACAAATTAAACTTCCTGCGGCATAGGACAACAATCCGACGGCTAGCAAAAATATGTCATAGTTGATCCCACAACTAGGAAATTAAAAACCATTAAAATGAAAGCCATAACAATAATTCAAGAGCAGAACGCCCTCAGAAATGCCTGACAGACCATTGCGATCCCCTTGATTAGCATACGGCGAAATCGCAATAAAAGTAATTACTTTGATTACATTTCTAACGGACGGCTGTGTCAGTTGAAAAAGGGGGGCCCGGGACCGTCAAAAGTCAACGGGAGAGACCCGGACGGGCAGACAGACACATGTATAAATAATAAACACGGCGGCAAAATGAAGAAGGAACAAGTGCAAAATGAAGAAAATGTTTCCGCAGGCGGAAAGTGGGCGGAACACACACCCACATCACACACACACACCCGCCGCTCGCATCAACATTAAAAATGTATTTTAATGTGTCGCCTGCTTTGCCCATTTCGACTGCCTGCTGTCGGCGTTAATGTCTTTCATTTGGCAGGCAAATATTCCTGCGCCTCGATGGATGGGCGCGACCCCCCGAATCCCAAAAGCCGACCTCCAAACACCACCCACCTGTCAGGCAGGAACAACAGACCATTAGGCCAACAATTTTCATTGCGTTTGTAAATCATAAAACGCTGTCAAATTCCTAAACCCCCCAAAACCCCCGCCTATGTGTGCTCCCGCCATGTTTGCCTTTGACTTTCAGCTAATTACTTGTGATTTAATTTGAAATTGTAATTAGCCAGCAAAATGTCATTTTTTTGACGGCTCTGGCAGGCGGCGGCGTGGCAGTGGAGGCTCTGTCTCATATGTTTCTGGTTTAACGCCTTGAAGTTTTTAATTAGACAGCCGATGAGGAAAAGGGTCCGCAGTGTGGCAAGGATTTAATAAAAGGATTTCAAGAATTTTCCGCACGAGTAGCTGAGTTTCTTGACATTCGATTCGAGAAACGTGACTTTATTGGAACTTGTTTAGGTTTAATCAAAAATAGAAACAAAAACCAAGGGCTAGTTGTACCTAGTTTTCATTTTGTAGTTAATATCTGAAGTAAATATATTTCCTAAATCAAAGATGGAAGGTCCTATCCTCGCCTCCGACTGATAGGAACCCATCAGTCGGCGAGCCCAACAAAACAACGGTGCCGCATTGATAAAGAGTCCTGCCAACTGCAGTTGGAACGCCATCGAAATAAATTTGACTTCCACCATGCGATTTTCCTGACGAAGAGCAAAGTCCCTTGACGTGCCTCGCCCGAGGCAACAAAAGCACAGCACGAGGCATTGGCTCCTCCCAGAGAGGAATGTGCTTACCTGGACCCCATCCTCCGGGTCCTGGTCCGAGATAGAGCCAAGCCAAAGCTGTTGATAAAGCGCACATTAAAATATATACGTATCTAAGTATCTCAAAGATACAGCTTTGCTCAACTCGAGCAGGTGAGGCGGAGGCCAAGCGTCCTTCATCCGCTGCTGGGGGATGAGAGAGGCATTCAAATAAAAAACCGTGAGAATCAAAGCAGCAGACAAGTGGAGCGGAAAGCTTTCAGTGCGTGGCGTGGCCAAGGACCAACGAGCAAGGACCAAGGACCGAGGGCCGAGGGGAAAGCCAGATGAAGTCTGTCCAAACCAAAAACTGTCGGAGGCACTGAAGCACTCCGGCGATTGTCCGGCGAAGGAGCCGGAGTCACCTTACCGCCCGACCGTCGCGACGGCCCTCCCATCTCCTGGCAAGTTGTTAAGTTTCGTCCTCTTTCTCTTTTACGTTTCATTTATTACGCAGGGGTTTTCCTTTCGTTCCTTTTTGTAAATTAAGAATTTCCCTGCAGCTTTTTACAGCTTCTCAATGACTGACTATGCCCGTCCCATCTGGCCGCTCATCCCGGAGTCTCTTAGCTGACTGTTGGCGTTATAAAAGCCCAACGCTTCATTGCACAAACATAGTCGAGGACCGGAAGGCAGCCAGGCGGGCATCGCCGATTCCAAAGGCCTAAGGGAACACGAGCAGGAGCAGGAGCGGCAACGGGAGAGGCATCAGGAGCAGGAGCGGGAGCAGAAGTGGCGTCGGGAAGCGTTCACCACTTAACAGGGCACACAACTTGGCCCACAACTCGACTCAAGAGTTGGCGATATCGTTTCTGCGCACGTGAGCATAAAATACTTCACGGAAGCCTCTCCCCGGAGTCTGTGGCAAAGACAAGAACTCAAAATGAAATTAATTAAAACAATATAAACAATAAGCGAAAGACATGCGAGCGCTCCCGGTAAAAGCGAAGAGCCTGAGCATGTAAGGAAGACATGGCGCAGTGATTTCGCTCTACCACACCTTAAGGTTATGAAAATACCTTGTTAAAGTTGCGTATATATACAAATAGTTATAGAATTCAGTTTATATGATATGGATATGGGAACCCGAATTCTATAAAATTTAAATTGTTTTAAAACACGAATTGGGAATTTACATAATGCCTCTCCAGCCTCGGAGCATCCCATCACTCAAGCGGACTTCAGTGGAAATCAAAGCAAATAAAATAAGCAAATTATGAGCGGGATAAAATAAATTCAGCCTCGGTCTGGCGAAATTGTTGAGTGCGGAAGATTGGACATTGATAGCCTACGTGGTCAGCCAGCTAAGGAGAAGCCAAAGGAGAGAGAGGACCGAGAAAGGCAGCGCAAAATATGGCAGGGTAAATATGTTTCAAATATTTATGCGCCCATTCTGTCCTTCACCTATTTTTGCGGATGCGAGCACTCTTTGTCTTCGTCCTCACAAAAACCGCGGGCCTCCAAGAAGAAGACTCAAAGCCCTCCCGGTCCTTGCGGTTGCCACTCCCATCAGAATAAAGGGGAAACGTCGCCCGAGACACGTTTTGGCAATGAACACGAGAAAGGAACGTGTGTTTATTTTTATTTGTGGGCCCACAAAAGGTGAACGCCAGGGAAAAGGTGGCCGGAGACTGCGATGTGTTGGCTCCCGGCAAAATTTATGGGACAGCCGGGCTCATAAGCGCCGCACTGTGCAGTCCTTGCCGCGGCGCGAAGGATACGTGAAGCTCTGGCTTGGCTGATTGAATTTTCCATTGCATACCTGCGGGCGGCTGTTGTAAATTCTTTTTTGCCATCTAATTGGAAACCTGAAAGGAGCAGAGGTGCCGCTATCTAATTTAAGAAATAATTCAATGAACGACAGAGCATCTCAAATAGTTGCCAATATTTGCATGGAGAAAGAAGACAGATTTCAATTATTCTGGAGAAATATAAAAATTATCTAGTTCAATTCGGAAATTTTCTGCCATTTGTTTGATTACAAAATGTGTTTGCATTATAAAAATAATCTAATTTTTGTTCTTCTTTTGGTTGAAAAACTTAAACTTATTTTAATTCAAAACTTAAGAGAACTTCTGCGGAAATATAAATGTAACTAAGGGTATATTTTTTAGACCAAAAAAAGTTACGTATTCGCTCATCTTGTGAGCTTCCTGAACCTCTTCCTTCTTTAGTGTTATTCGAGCAAATGTTTACTCAGGTCCTGGTTACATGTTCACTCTCGGGTCGAGGATCTGTTCACATAAAATGCAAAGGTAAACAGTATCATTAGAGGAGAACACACCTGAGAGCTGGTTAGGGTTTGAGGGCTGGGATCGCTACGCTCGGGCAGATGCGGGCTATTAACAATGTTGCCACTTCATTCAAATTAAGCACGGACCCACGACTTCAGCCCAGTCCGACCCCGTTCCCCTGCCCGATGGCCTACGTGACGGTTACCACAAAACGTCTTTTGCCTTTCGCCTCAATGTTCAAATTTTAATCGCATTTCTTGGTCGTGGCTGAGTCCTTTTCACTTGCCTGTCCTTCGGCTTCGACACTTGAACGGGGACGGAGCGGCAAAAAAGGGGTTTTTCTGAGCCTGTCCTGTCTGTGTTTCGTCCTTTGGCCCGCACCTCAGTCAGTCATTTGTCTTTGCCCTCGCCGTTTGCTGCGTTTCCCGCAAAACGAAAATGGAAATTGGTTTTCTCTTGGTTACTTACTGTCCTTGCCAGAAGCTACCCCCACTTTCCACCCGCCGCCCATCTACTCCACCGTCAACGGCCACAATAACATTCATTTAAAATGTAAATAAAGTGACAAATTACCTGAATTAGTGACACAACGTACAGTGCGCGTTTACGCTGCTCTTTTCGACTCGTCCTGCCATTGCCATTCCCACCTCTTCCTGTTGCCTGCTCCCTTCCGAGGTATTTACTTTTGTTTTTAATTTAAGGCTCCCAATTTAGCTGTTGACTTTGGTTGGCGAAATGTGCTTCTGGTAAGTGAGTTGATGCCGTGAGAGAGCTAATCGGAGGGGTAATCGAATGGAGAATCCTTTGGAGGGAATGGTGAGACGAGAATCTGTGCTGGGGCTTTAAGCACGCTCCTGCCTCGTCATAACTCCCGCTCGCCAGGAAGAAAGGAACTTTAAAGCATTTGCCCAGCCAGCTATTAAATTCAATTATTGCCTCAGCACAATATTGAATCAACAGCAGCCGCGCCGACGGAGCTCTACGCACTTTCTGGTGGCGCCCGGGCCCGGGCACTCTTAAGTCCTTCGCACAGCTGTCGAGTAAATATTTAATTTACGAAATTCCATAATAAAATTTTCGTACAGCGCCGCGTCTTGGCCCCGCTGCCGTTCGCCGCCGATGTTGTTGTTCTTTAAGGCAGCTGGGTTTTCATTTCGCATGCCAATTGTTTGGCAAGTGTCAAAATAATAACAAGCCACCCCCGCAGAAAGGTGAAGTCCCAGTTGCAACCCCCTTTGGCCAGGGACGTGGTGCATGCCAATGCCAAGTGTCAGAATATTTTGACAAATTTTTTTATGTTAATTTCGTATTAATAAAATAAATATTAAATCAGTGCGGCAAGGGATGTCGTCGAGGGTGGCGATGACAAATGGCGGAGGCATTCGGCCCGATGACTATATTAGAGGGCAAAACCACTAATTTATCCCCAGAGAGTGGAGATCCCGGCAGCTGTTACCCTCATCCCATCGCATCGTTGCCTTTGCCGAATCTGAGCTCGTTGAACCCTCCAACGCGCCGGAGTTGGCTTTAATTGGAGCTTTGGCCGACTTCCCCTTAGCCGGCATCGGTTTATATTTCGGAAATTTAAAGACCCAATTCCGTTATTATATTATTTAATTTTAAGCTCTCGACTCGTTGATTTTTATGGGATTTGCGGCATTTTCTCTGCCCAACTCTTCTTCTGGCCCATCTGGGAAGCCCTTTGGCTAATTATTTGGAGTTTAATGCCAATACCCAAAAAGTTGTTTGCCCATTAACAGCACACGAAGCGGCTTTTTAAGCTGTGCTTTAAGTCGTTTGTAGTATTATTTCCGTTTCCGGCGGTTTCCTAGAATTTACTTCTAGGCAAAATAAGCATCGGTTTTATTGTGACATTTGTTTTTGTTTGTATTTTTAACCCAAGCTATAACTCTGTTGGGAAAAGAAACAGCTAAAGATCATGGCTTATTTAATTGCCAGAAAAGAAATCCCGTGAATTTTCTTTGACTAAATATTTTTCTTACATTTAAATTAGTTTTTAAAATATTTACCATAGTCTTATATGTATATTTGTTAAGTGTTCAAGTAGTAGGAAATTTTCTCTTACTAGTGAAATTTTTATTTGTATCTAATTTGTATGTAAATTAAATAAGAATTTTTAGACTTGAATAAAGCATATTTTTTACGGAAAAGAAAAGTACGATCAGTTGGCACCGATCGAAATTTCGAACTTTTAGGCATATGGACCTTCCCTGTAAAACAATTCAGTAGTCATTTTTATCTAGAGCTCTCAGGTCAGGCCACATAGGACTGAAAGTTTCTAAATAAAAATTCATTGGCATAATTCCAACCAAATTTCCTCCTAAAGCCTTTGCTTAGTTTCTTTATCCGTGAAGTTTTTGGTGAGTGTTCAAGAAGCCTTTTGTGATAATGATGTTAGTGTAACAAAATGTCCTCAAAAGCACCAAGCGACCCAATCATGTGTGGCAGCTGTGGCTTTGGCTGTGGTCCTTACGGCTATGGTCCTTCGGGACCCTGTGGACCTTGGTGCGGCCCATGGTGTGGACCCTGCGCCCTGTCTCCAGGACCCTGCGGTTCGTACTGCGGCTGTGGGCCCTGCGGGCCTGCGTGTTGGCCCTACGGTCTGTACACCTGCTAGGCTTCAGAAGGATTTAAGGAACGCATCAGCCATAGCCCCCAGGTGAGTGATTCGAGAGTTGAAATTTCTTGGGGGCCGAGGGGTGGCAATAAAAATTTCATCCGCTTCCCGTGGATACCGGGGCAGAGGGTTATCGCAATTCAATAACTGCACAAAGAGACGGCGGCTTCGATTGTTTGGCTCGATTGTAAACAAAACTCTAATTTGAATTCTTGAGCCGAAGAGAGGAAAGTCGCATCAGTTGTGCGAGTGTGCAGGTGCAAAAAGGGAAAAGCTGATTTCATTTCAGAGGCCTCACCCGGCGTCGGGTGCCGTTGCCAAGAGGAAACCGGCATTCAACGGAGTACAGGGACTGCCGTGTGTGTGTTGGCTTTATTACAAAATTTTTCGTGCTTTGGCCTTTGTTTATTTGAACTGCCGTTCGGCATACGGCCGCCTGCAGTGCGTATGAGCCCAGCATCCAATTTGAAGCCCCCCATTGGCAGGGCCTAAATGTAGGAATGTCGGCCATTCTGAAATTTGCAATGTGCACAGCTTGAAGGCAGAGTAATCTCGTACATTAACTATATTTCATTTTCTTTGCAGGTGGGTTCGTGATAAGCATTTGGAAGGAGTAATATTTGATTACGCAGTCATATCCATGGTACTCATTAAAATTTGGAGCCAATCCTAATACCTAATAAATTTGTGTGCTTTTTCGGGGGGTTGGGGGAACTCATTGGTGCCTCCAAATGATCCCAGCCATGAGCAAATTTGTCGCCTAAGCCTTTAACGGCTCTTCGGAATCCGAGGACTTAGCGTGTCTGTTCGTTTGGGAAAGCCAGTAGGCATCCCGCCTTTCACCCCGTGAACCTGTGTACTTCCCATTTGCAAACATGTCTCGGCAAATGGCTGCCGGCTACGACTTCTCTCTCCTTCCCGCCGCCTACGAAAATTCTAAATGAAAACCGAAAGTCATGAGTTCTTTCCTTTCGCTAGGAGGGGAAGTTTGGCATCCTCTGTTGCTTTGTGTCGCGTTATTTACGAGTTTTTCCAGTCACTCTCGAGCCCAGAAAACTCTTTCAGGTATGTCGACTTGACATTTTTAATTTAACGCAAAGGAACTCCTTCGGTGAATGGCGAAGCACATGTGCCTTCGGTAAGCAGTCGGCACAGCGACGGTAAGGCACAGCCTTTGGGATTAAGCAGGCATTTTATGGGCAGGCACAGACATCGGTATCTAATCCGAGGCCAAAACTAGCCCCAATTTTCCCAGCAGGCTCCAGCTCTTCGATAAGCCTTAAAGCGCATTGTGGTCAGCTTTGGTGCCTGCTGTGCTCTCCATCACATTGCTTTTGGGTCCAGATCTTGACTTTAATGGGATGTGGGGGTCTAAAAGGAGTCGAAAGCCCAGGTGTCTTTGAGCCGAATATTATTGCCAGATATGGTTTGGATATATGAACCGATTTCTATACCAGGTGCGCAAAGAAGACAAGGGTACAATTCCTCAAAGCTAACTAGGAATGTAACAGGCAGAGGATATCTTCATATCAACCAGATGGCCAATGATCTGCAACATCCGATCGTCACGAATATAAGAATCACCCAAATTCCGTTTATGAAAATGAACCAACACACACAAGAGGAAAAGAGGAAAATCTATGGACGCTGGGATATACATACATCTCGAGAATATAAACATAGTTGACGGACTTCACCAAAGATAAACGAAATTATCGAATACTAGGAGCTAGGAGGACTCTTTACCTTCTCATGCACATTTCCCTTGTTTTTACCCCGTTTTGATTCTCTTTAAAATTTGAATTTGAAATATTTCAATTTTTATAGCTTGTATTAGCTTTTGCATCTATTAAGACATTTATAAGATATAGTATTTTAGGACTCGATCGGACACGCAAGTCAAGGTGGGGTCATGGTGTTTTTATCAGGGAAATCGATCAGAGTTAGAATCTTTTCTTTCCTTAGGCCTGGGGCTGCACGCATCGGGTGTTCTCGGGCAGATCGCAGATTCCCTTGAGCGCGTTGAAGTACTTGTCGCCGCAGCTCACCTGCAGGGGTTTTCCGTAGCGGCAGACGTAGTAGTCGGAGCAGCTCTTCAGCGAAGCCAACATGAAGCCGTCGGGCTTATTGCGGCACACATACTTAGTGTAGGTGGCGATGCTCAGCTCCTGAGGCTGCTGGACAGCCACCTGTCCGGCCTCGAACACAGTTAATTTGGCAGGTCGGATAGGTCTAGCAGGGCGCACCTTCATGGAGGAGGCTTGAGCCTTAGCGGCAGAGCTTCCGCTGCAGGCAGTGGTTACTTCCACACAAGTGGTCGTAGTTTCTGGAGTTTGGGCACAGGTGGTCGTAGTCTCCGGAGATAGAGCACAGGTTGTCGTAGTCTCCGGAGATTGAGCACAGGTGGTCGTAGTCTCTGGAGATTGAGCACAGGTTGTGGTAGTCTCAGCTTGTATCGGAGTGCAGGTTGTTGTTGTGCAGGTTGTTGTTGTAGCGGTCGTGGTAGTGCACGTTGTTGTTTTAGAAGTTGTTGTAGTGCACGTTGTTGTTGTAGCGGTCGTGGTAGTGCACGTTGTTGTTGTAGCGGTCGTGGTAGTGCACGTTGTTGTTGTAGCGGTCGTGGTAGTGCACGTTGTTGTTGTAGCGGTCGTGGTAGTGCACGTTGTTGTTGTAGCGGTCGTGGTAGTGCACGTTGTTGTTGTAGCGGGCGGTCGTGGTAGTGCACGTTGTTGTTGTAGCGGTCGTGGTAGTGCACGTTGTTGTTGTAGCGGTCGTGGTAGTGCACGTTGTTGTTGTAGCGGTCGTGGTAGTGCACGTTGTTGTTGTAGCGGTCGTGGTAGTGCACGTTGTTGTTGTAGCGGTCGTGGTAGTGCACGTTGTTGTTGTAGCGGTCGTGGTAGTGCACGTTGTTGTTGTAGCGGTCGTGGTAGTGCACGTTGTTGTTGTAGCGGTCGTGGTAGTGCACGTTGTTGTTGTAGCGGTCGTGGTAGTGCACGTTGTTGTTGTAGCGGTCGTGGTAGTGCACGTTGTTGTTGTAGCGGTCGTGGTAGTGCACGTTGTTGTTGTAGCGGTCGTGGTAGTGCACGTTGTTGTTGTAGCGGTCGTGGTAGTGCACGTTGTTGTTGTAGCGGTCGTGGTAGTGCACGTTGTTGTTGTAGCGGTCGTGGTAGTGCACGTTGTCGTTGTAGCAGTCGTGGTAGTGCACGTTGTTGTTGTAGCGGTCGTGGTAGTGCACGTTGTTGTTGTAGCGGTCGTGGTAGTGCACGTTGTTGTTTTAGCGGTCGTGGTAGTGCACGTTGTTGTTGTAGCGGTCGTGGTAGTGCACGTTGTTGTTGTAGCGGTCGTGGTAGTGCACGTTGTTGTTGTAGCAGTCGTGGTAGTGCACGTTGTTGTTGTAGCGGTCGTGGTAGTACACGTTGTTGTTGTAGCAGTTGTTGTTGTACAAGTGGTAGTAGTCTCGGCTGGTGTTGGAGTACAAGTGGTAGTAGTCTCGGCTGGTGTTGGAGTACAAGTGGTAGTAGTCTCGGCTGGTGTTGGAGTACAAGTGGTTGTAGTCTCAGCTGGTGTTGGAGTACAAGTGGTAGTAGTCTCAGCTGGTGTTGGAGTACAAGTGGTCGTCGTCTCTACAACGGGAGCACAAGTAGTAGTCGTTGCCTCGGCACAGGGCGATGCAGAATCTCCAGCAACTGCCATCGAGGATGCAGACTGAACCTCAATGCAGCCTGTGTTATAATTGACACATCCTTGGACCTTGGCATCGAAGAAGCGGGAGCAAGTGTTCACAAGGGCCACTGCGGACTGGCACTCGTAGTACTGGGAGCAACTTCCCGGAACGAGGGCTCGGAATCCATCAGGCTTGTTAGCGCACACATAACGCCTGTAGAGCTGATTGTCGATTGTCTTCACAGTGGGCTGCAGACTGGCCGCACTGGTGCTCGCCACCAAAATGGCGACGCAGGCAAGTACTGGAAGAAGGAAACGGGTTAGTCTTCGTTCGATCTGAAAGGTCCGAGGTCCTTGGGTTCATACCTATCGCACTGTTCATTCTGTTGGCAGCTATTCCGTCGTGTTGCTTCTGGAAGCTGCGTTAGACTTGTCGGGAGCAATGGGCTCGAATGACGGTTTCGCAAGTGTCGCCAGTTTTTATATGAAAGCCTCTCTCAGCTGATATGGATGTACCTCTACTCTATTACATTTACTGGCCTTATCAGTATTTCTGTTGTATAGAAGGTGCCCTTACTCAGCCTTTGGCGGCGACCTTGATTTTGGCTGAGATGCTGATTTGATGGAGTGCGTTATCTCTTGGATACTGGTGCCTGCCCGAAAGGTTTTAATTTCTTTAATTGTTTACGCACGTCGGAACTGGAAGCACGAGGTATTTTGGAGATACGTTTCCTATTTCCTTTCATTGATCATGAGATTGCAGTATGGTTTGTCCCAGACAAATAACATGGCAGTTTGCAAAATTCGTGCAGTCTCGTCCTAGGATGTGGGAAGGAGCTCAGGCTCCCCTCACGCAAACTCCTCCGTACTCGATTTCCCTCTTCCCTTCTCTCTATCATGCGTGTTTGTATGCGGTCAGGCCCGGTGACGTTAATTTATCAAAGGAATTTACAATTGTTTAATTAATTAGATGCCTAATACAGGTGCACAAATGCCTTTAATACATAGTCAGCGTGCCAACCATCAAATAGGCGAGCCATGTTTTCATTTGCACATACATATTTGACATCTCCGTCTTGCGTGTATTAATAGGAATATACCACATTCCATTCCTTTTTCAGCAATCAATACTAATGAGTATTTATAAACTATCAGAAAAATGTGTTCTCTAAACTAAATTGTAAATTCCTAAAAATAGCTGCCCACCTTACCCTATATATCTGTCTGATCAGTGGATCGGAATTGCTTGTAACATTCAATGTATTAAATCTGCTATAACCTTTTTCTCTACGAATGACGGGTATAAACAGCTGACTATCGACAACAATCAATGTAGTACTCATAGACACACATGTATATTCACGAAACTACATTTAATTTTGATAATGACACATGTTTAGTGCACGAATTGATCATATCAGTCTTCTGCCGGAATCCGTTGTATGTATTTACAAGCCTTCTAAAAAGAGATACAATTTCAGAAGTCAATAACTTCCAGGGTTGACATTGCCTATAAATTGTTCTTTTGAATAACTACATTATATACCTTATATTTTTAATATTAATACAAATATTAATAAATATTAATATCAACATTTACTATTATTATTATAAAATATTACCACTATTATTATTATAAATATTACGCTAATTACTTTGTTGGGATGGGAAAGAAGGGAGGTATTGCGGTTAGCATAAACAATGCGATATAGTTATGGATTTCAAATTAGAACTAATTCCTCCCAAGCTCATGAAAAGAGAATCCTGTAGAAAAACATTATAACAAACAATAGCCACAAACTTGTTAACCTTGAAAAGGCATTTCACGATATCCACAATTACACTAAAATCACAGAGTATAGTAAGTATAATAATCTTAATGGAAAACTATTTCTATTAAAAGAAATTTAAGCACTTAAACAACTAACTCTATACATATATATTTAAAAGGTTAAAGCTAAACTAATAATGTTAAAAATGTTTCATGTGTTGCAAAAGTGTTTTGCGACATTATTTTACACTTGACTTGGCGGTGAAAAAGACAAACAAACAAAAGACAAAAAATGCAAAAGGAATCGCTTAACCCTTGAACGACCCTGACAGATGCGAAATTGACTTGAATTATCGAATTTCGGGCTTAGTCAGGGCTGCGACCCTTTTACACAGCTTGAACTCAAGTTCAGTTGGCAGAATGAAGCGGAGTCAGGCTAGTCCGGCGCTGAAATCAAACGGAATATAAATCAGTTTAATGATTTCTCTGCCAACAAAAAAAAAAGCAACGGAAAGTTGGGAGACCTTGGGTTTGCTTTCTGGCTTGGCGACCGGAACCGGAAGTCGGCAAACTGTTTGGCAAAAACATTGAAGCCAATATAAAAATGCTGCTTCTGCTTTAACATTCCTGCATTTGTGGAACCAGTCTGCAAGCGACAGTCTTGGTAACACGATGGCACCTTATTAATTTCCTGTACTTTCAAAAGATGGCTTATATTAATTGACAAGTACTGTTACTAAAATTAAGTTGCCAGATTTCCTGCCTGTCTGTGACTCATTTAAAATACACAAGAAAGCGTGATAACTTATGTAGAATGAAATTTGACTACTTGGCTTTGGTTTTCTAAGAAAATAGCTTAACGAAAATACAAATAATATACAAATCCGAGAACATAATTTTATTAGATTGTAAAAATATTATAAGAGATACTAATAGTATATAGTATTCAACTACTCTTTGACCTTGATAAACCAACATTTAGGACAACAAAAAAGTTTAATATTTTTGCATATCTTTATGCATTTGATCATATTCCTTCTGTTTTCTTCGCTCTAGCTTTTCTTTTTTCCTCTGCGCATTCAGCTCCCGGGCTTTGGTCCACGCATCGAGTTTCCGCTGGCTGCGTTTCTTGTGGACGGCTACCTGTTTCTTGGTCTTTAGCTCGTGCCTTCGTACCTGCGCCTCGCTTTGCAAACAACAAAAGCGACAGCTTCGGCGCATCCACTTTGTGAAGTTGAGCTTCTTTTTCTTTTTTACCAGAGGTGTTTCGGTTGGAGCGTCTTGCTGTACGGGATGCTCACCCACACAATGCGTTTTTGTTCTGTGTCGCCACTTCAATCCACACAGAAGAAGAAGTAAGAGAACAAAGATGGAAGCAACGGCTAGGATGACACCAACTGTTATGACCAGGTAATCCACCTCCGGGACTCTCTGTTCCCAGTCCAGTTCTCGCTTCAGCTTATGGCAGTCAGCGGAAGTTATGAAATCCACATCCTTATAGACAGCTGGGGTATCGCAAAGGTGCCACATCGAAAATACTTTCGGTGCATTACCTCCTTGTAGATCTTCACACCTGGCATATGCTTTGATCATCCATTGTTGGCACTGTGGTCTGTTGATGGGACTCATTGTTTGGAGTCTTGTTTGTTCTGTGGGACTTATAAGAGTTTATCTCAACATCCTACTGAGTTTTTTATTAATATTTCCTTAAAAAAGTACTATTTCTAAAATATCTTTGAGATAACATGAGCTGGAAATAAAAATATAAGTAATAAGTCATAGAAAAAGCATTTCTACCCAAATTTCAGATACAAAGCTTTAGTTACCGAGTATTTCCAAACGGCTCGGACTGACAAGGTAGCATGATTAGCAGACGTGTTTGAGTGCCAGGCTAATTTATTATTGAAACTAATGTTGTCGTCTATCAGAGAAGGGATGTAAAGGGAAGGCAGGCGAAAATTATGAAAATTATGACAAATGTCAGTGACATTAATTAATCGCCAAGATATGACAGAGAAGGGGAAGGAGCCACAGGAGAGCTCAGGAACTGCGCAGCACCGGCAGGAACGTCGCACACGGTAATTAGGAAGTCACCTTAAATTTTAAGGCATTAAATTAAAGATGCAGAGTCTGAATATTAAATATTTTTTTTATTTTTTAAGAGGTAGTTCTTAAAAATAAATTGGCTAGAAGATAGTTACTTCCGTTTAAGCTTGTCAGAGTTGAGAATAATTTTATACAAATTGTATTTCAACTTTCAATTGAAATAGAAATAAAGCTACCATTTCACATATATTTTTAGATCGCCTAAGTATAATATTTATAAATAAATAAATAAATGTATAATGTTTTTATTTTGATATTGGCTCACTTCAATACCTCTCTAAGTTCTTCCCTCCCGTAGTTTATTTCAAAGAGCTGAAACTCCATCTCCTGTGGTGTTCGAAGCATCACCGCTTGATTTGCGTTTGGCAAACGACATTGGGCATATGGAAAGGTTATGATTTATGCCAGGGCAAGCACAATCCATATAAAAACTTACTTTTATCATCCTCTCTCTCTCGTTTGGAGTCATCAGCATTTTGGAGGCACACAAAGCAAATCCCTTGGCAATATCCGAACCCAAAATTCGCCCCGCATCCCTAAGACACCCCGCCCAGCATCGCTGAGAATATAAAAAACATGCAAGCCCATAAAGCCGGTAAGAAACGTGTCCATACGTGGAGGTGTGCCTGTGTGCGAGTGCATAAAAAGTAACACCGAAATAAAAATAACTGAAATATGCGCACAGGCCCGCCGCACATACGCCTTTACGATTGCTGAAGGAGTAAAAATTGTAACGGCCCCGGGAATGTACACTGTACAGTGTACAGTGGAATTTACACGCTAAATGCGTCCCAAAAGAGAGCAAGCCAAAGTCATTAAATGCTTGTTGGCCAGGTAGGCAAGGGAAGCTCCCAACCATGGGGACTCCCCCGAAGACACACTCGTAGGCTCCGCAAAAAGGTTTTACATGTCATTGCGGCCCAGCCAACACCAACACCAGCACACACCCGGTATAGTGGGGAGCCAGAAATTGACATAAATACATAATGAGCCGCAATTTCGCCCCCAACATCTGAGCAAATCCTTGATGGCCGGGGCTGAAGTGCGTGGCACTGTACACGATATGTCTGAGGCTAAAAAGCGTACTTTTACTTTAATTTCCCGCTGGAATTGACCAAGAAACCGAGGCAGCCAACGGCGAAAGTACAGACTAAGCCAAGAAAGCGAGCTGTCAACATTTTGCCATCAAAGCGCCTAGTTGTATGCAATTAATGTGCTTGACTTCAGGAGGGTTTGGGAAACTACCTTCTAAGTATATATGGAGCCAAATAACACGCAGTTGAACTGAGAATACATCGAACTTCAGAGGCCCTTACAGAGCGCAAAGGTCTTGTTGGCCTAATGTAAACAGAGCCAGGCAATTTATTACTGGAAATCTGATTTTTATATTAGCTAATTGCTTACGTGAGCTGCAACACCTACCTTATCTTATCGAATCAGAAATTACACCAAAAGAGAAACGCTCCTCAGGTATCGCACACAATCGAGATTTTCATATCAAAATGGGTGCTGGCAGCCCAACGATACTTAAGTCGAATCAGGTTCTTCGGCAGCACAGGTTGGAAGTACCCAGCCCGTGTATAGAGTACATCCCGCCCACAACGACACGGTTTTGGCCTGCTCTAATATTAGGGACAAGTTGTTGGCAGGCAAAGTTCACACGAAGCCAAAGCAGCGAACATTCCCGTGAGACATTTTCAATTATTTATTATTTATGCCGGGCGGGGAGGGCACTGGCCATATGTGTCGTGTCTTGTTCTATGTGCCCTGTCAGTTGACAAATTTGCAGCCAGGCACTGACGAGCTTTAATGTGGTCCAGGACACAAGGACCTAAAGGTCCTGCAGACAGCCAGACAGCAGAAACGTGGAAATTTCGTTAAGAAAATTATTTACATTTGCAAATTTTATGAGCTTTGTTCCATCCGAAAGAGAACGGGCAGGTGGGCGGTGGGCAGGACCAAGCTCCAAGCTTTCAGCTTTCAGCTTCCAGCTTTCAGCTTCCAGCACCAAGCCGAAACACGTCTGCATGTTTAATTTAATGCAGTGTGCGAGGCGAACCCCACACCGCCTCGGATTCCTGCCACGCGAGCGGGCGCGGAGATGATGCTACCGGCGCCCACTCCACACGTGTGTCGTGCTTTTTAACCGTATTAAATAACATCCCTGTTGGCGTTTATTAATGGCGCAAACTTTTAATGAGAATGTGCATATTTAATTGGAAAGTCAAGAGAGAGTCAGAGGGAGTCAGCTGAGAGAATTTGGCGCTGCCCTGGCAACCGCTAAGATTCTTTTTGTTTCGCTGGGGGGTCACCGGTGCCCCATTTCCTCCTAGCGGCGGCTCTTGGCTTACCTGGCACCTGGGAATGGAAATAGGAGCCGGGATTGGAGTGGGAGTGGGTGTGAGAATGAAATGGGTTCTGGGAATGCTACTTAGCGGCAACATCTCATCAGCATTAATGTGCCCTGGTCGTCGTCATAATCAGCGCTGAGGTCGCAAACGCAAATTGCCTCACCGTTTCCCTGGCTTTTGTTACGTTTTTAGGCAGGTGAAAATTTAAAATGCAAACTAATTTGAAGGGGATATTAAATCCCAACGAAAGGGGTTTCATGCCAAAAATGGCAGGCGTGCATATTTGACACAGTTTTGTGTTAAGGGTTCACTCTGAGTAAGGGGTTAAACAGAGTGTTATTTTCAAAATTCATGTGAGGGCGGACTCTTTCCTAACTTCTTAAAGGGTCTCTTTGCATCGGTTTAATCATTTCGTTTCGAAAAAGTTCATTATAGAATTCAGAGAACAATCGAAAATGACAAACGAACTCAGTTCATCTACAAACTTCATTTGTAACTTGCAATTAAATTAAATTGCAATTTTATTAATTATAGAAAAAACTGTAAGGTAAAATTAAAACTTTCTGCCACTCAGAAGTATTATTGTTATTTAACATGAAGTTAAACCTCAGCTTTTAGTTTATTAACAGTTAGACAACAAAATTAATTGAGTACAGATGAAACATTTTCCCTTACTTTGCTAGCCTTTTTTTGGCGAGAACAAAGTTTTGGATTCCCTCACAACTCAACACAATATATTTTTAAAATTCCTAAAATGTTTTCATGTTGCAAATAAAAGCGTTAACCATAAGCACATCTCCAAAACGATGAAAAATACACTGCGTACATTGGGACACACGTATACGTAACATTTCAACAAATTCGTTCGTGAGTTGTGTTAGGTCTGCTCGGGCACTCACAAAAATAAACTGAAATTGTCAAATAAATGTATGTATTCAAATTCGAGCCAGGGCGGAGAGAGAGGGAGTACAGTTGAAAGGCACCAGGACGAGGGCTGGGGCAAGTATCGCGTTTCTACTGAAAAGTATGCAACGGTAATGGACTTTTAATGTTTGTATTTTTACGATGCTACGTCCTGAATACTCCTGGCTGTGACGGCCGGTGGTTGGTTAGTGAAGAGCAACGACTCGCTTGACATTATTATTTTTGTATAAATATAATTTGGGGAATGGTTTGCTGATTTCGTTGCTGAAGAAAATTGAGTACTGTACTTTGGCATATTAGACAATCAGGCATGCTCGAGGTTTTTGTATGTGATTTCGAATTTGTCCTTGATTTTTAAATGAAAACCAATCAGCTGAACTCTTTTATAGCTATCGTAATAAGGAGCTTTGTTATGCGACATGTTGAGGAATTAAAATTATGGGTTTTTGAGAAATAAAGACCAATTAAAAATATTTAAAACTAAATTACGGTAATTACTAAACAATAGTCAACAGAGAAATACCATAAAAAAATATTTAAAATATATAAATGATACGATTCCATCCACCAAGCTTTTCAAAACTAACAATATATCACCATTATCATTCTACACTTGAGAAAAACCCCCCGTTACGCTTCATTAAAAGGCACTTGGAAATTTAAATACCTCCATAAATGATACTCCACCATCACCGATGTCTACAAATATAAATCCCAAGCCGGGCATACAGACAAATGATGGTCCTTACGACCCGCCAATTGTCAACTCGTTTCAATGGCTATTCCGAACCCGAAACGCATCCGGGCCTGAACTCATGTGGCATGGCATTAACCCCCACGGCACCGACATCGCAGACCGGCAAAAAATGTTTGGCAGCAAAAATTATAAACCACTCGAGCATATTTCGTAAGTCCAAAGAGCAGCCACTCTCCCACCAGCTTTGCCAGTTTCCCCAGAGCGAAAATGTTTCACGAGAGGACGCGAAAAATCGAAGGACAGAAAGTTGCAACGGAAATGCGACCGAGCTAAACGGATCTGAGTGAGGGATATACATAAATATACATTTGTATGATGTGAGTGCTTGTGCGGATGTGCGATTTTTTATATAACTGCGATGCATAGTCCAAACCGCGTCGCGCCAAACCGATAAATAAAAGAAATGTGGGTCCACCGTAATTCTCTCGCCCGGGAGCGCAACAAATTCTCCCCGTATTTGCGTTGGGTTTTGGTTATTAAACAGTTGGGGGCAGCCGGGCGGCAGTCACTCTCGAGACTAAGGGAATCCTTTTTAATATATGAGCATACTTTTTGGCTGCTGACAGCCGCCACAGTGCGCCGGGGGACCGGAAACCAGTGGAATTATTTGTAAACGCTCGCGCGGACCAGTGTGTGTGGGAGCAGTGCCCGCAGAATGTAACGCTATATTACGAAACAAAAGCTGGAAAAACGCAGGACTGCAGCGCCAAGGGGGCGAGACGGATGCCTCAAATGTCAGCCATTTATTAAGTTGGCCTGCAGAGCTGCAAAGGCAAAGCGCAGCAGACGGGCAAATGGCAAACGGCAACTGTCAGCCATAACCAAAAGTCGCTATCACTTAGACGAGATGAGTCCAGTTCAGAGCCATTTCTGTTTGAAGGCCCAGACAGACCAAGAGGTCTGAAAAGATATTTTTTTAAAGGGAATTACACAATTTGACAATTTGTAATTAAGTTATATATAATACCATAAATCACTCTCTAATTTTTAACTATCAAAAATAATTTTAATGCAATTTTGCTCTTAGGTGTTTTCTGATTTCTCTATTTATGTACATTTAGCTTATTTTCCAAAAATTAATTGCATAGCTTAAATACAAGCTCATCGCGTTTGGTTAAATAAATTGCAAATAGATTTAAATTTAGACTTAAAGGCTTTCGTAAAGTGCCTTTCTGTTGTGTAAAATAATAGGGGGTTAAAAAACATCATTTTTCGCTGGCCAAATTAATTGAAACTTTATTTGGATTATGAAATTAGCACATGCCCAGTGAGTTCTTGCAGCATTAAGCGGTTTTTAATTAGGTTTTGACTTTTTTCCAGCGGCTACCGATGGGTCGACGAGGCAGCTGGCTTTTGAAGTGGATCATTTGGATGAGAGCCTGGTGGGGTGTACTGTAAATGGCAGTGACTGCAGTGGGTGGGTGAATCCAAAACTCTTTCATGAATTTGAGCCAGGCTTTAATTGTGCGAAAGTAATGGGGAAAATATAAATAAAAACATAATAATCAAATTCAATTAAACTTTGACTTGAAGGTAATTCGGATGCTAAATCGAAATGGACGGCACTGGGAGGGGCAGTCGAGGCAATCAACCGAAAAATGTAAATGAAAATGAACAGAATGGCAACGAAGTTTCCTTGGCAGAACAAAAATCACTTATGAAATTTGATTGACTGCATCAATGAGTATGTGACTTCAACCACTGACAGATGAACCGAAACTCACAGGGAAAAAGTTTGGTTTTTGCGGCGGAAACATCCTGGCAATCCCGACTCAACTTTTCCCCCAGCCGAGCGGTCCTCGGCCCTCCTAGCGCTCATGGAAATTGACAATCAAATTGCAAATAGCTTTATCTTGTAGTTTGTTTATTTATTTATATCATTTCGTACACTTCCTGTGCACGCCAGGCAACAATGAGCAGGGCCGAGGGGAGTGGCGGTGCGCCGGAGATGAGACAGCTGGCGGCCATAGTTGTTAAGCTCGTCCTGGCCGCCATTTTGCTCAGTGGGCGAGCGAGCGGGTATGTGATTGCCTGTCCTTTTTGGCCTGTTATCCTTGGCTTATGTTTTCAATTAAATTTCCATACAATTTTCATGACATGACGAAATAGCCAGGGCCAGGAGCACATCCAGCGCCAGATCTCGACTCGACTCAGATGTGACTGACTGGACAATTGTGGCTCTGTGTGCGAGCGTGTGTGTCAGTCAATTTATTTAATAACAAACGCACTGTATGTGTGGGCAGTCAGTCACAGGCTGAATGTTACAGTAACTCACCTCCGATCCCAATCCTGTTGCATCATAAAAATCGCTGTGGGGATTTCTGAATATACATATATCAAGAGCCAAATATTATATTTTATTTCATTTTCACTTTAATAAAGTATTTGAGCAAAAATGAAACGAAATGAATGAATGCCTAGCTAGTTTGAGTACACTTACCAAAAATGAGAGTGTGTATAAAAATATTCATCTAATAGTACTTTGATATTTGCTTTAATATATATAAACTTTTTAATACAAAAGCTATAAAGATAGTTGAGGAAAGGAAGTGATCAGTTACAGACGAAAAATTTTCTAAGAATTAGTTCCATTTGCATTTTTCATTTCTAAACCTCTTTTATATTATTATTAATACTGACCAATTTACAATAAACAAAACAATAAAACAATCAAAAAGCTGAATCCTCTTTATTTTTCCGGGAGTAATAGTATTACGACATTGTGACTAAAGTACTGTAGTTAAATACTTCTGTTTAAGTTAATTGATTTAGTTATTTATGTCAATCAACTGACAAACGATAATTCAACGGCACAGCCATTTCATAACTGCATTTTTCAAGAGACATCGGTGGAGTGGGCGTGGCAGCCTGCTGATTGACAGACAGGCTTAATAAAATATAATAAGCCCAGGCATGCGAGTACGCCAAACCATTATTTAACAAAGGGCGAAATGAAAATAATTGAAATGGCAAAAAGTTAATTTCACTTATCTGAATCATTTGACTGGCAAGTGGAGAAACTTTAATGGACGAGGCAGAAAAGAGTCAACCGGAGGGAGTCTCCGGCGGAAGAATGTGTCAGGTGAACAGCCCCTCCCGAAAGTCCCCTCGCCGGCACCCAAAGCATCATTTCAATCAAATGTTCTTGTTTATGACAGCCGCCACGAGTATGAGGCCGAGGCATGATTTATCATTATGCGACCATACCCGAGCCGGAGTCTGCCACTCCACTCCAGGCCTGGCTCTGACCCGGATGTTATGCAACATAAGTATATGTTCAATATATAATGGCATAAAATATATGATAACCTGCCACATAAATAAAACAGCAGGAGCCCTGCAAATGTTACAAATGAACACACGTCAGGCAAAAATACATACATGTAATGGTAAAGCGATAGGGAAAAAGTAAAAGGACTGAAATTGATTACATCCAGAGGAAAAACTTTGGAATTCGTGAGCTTTTTTTCGAGTAAAGTAAGGAAAGATAGTTTTTCTGAAAATGTTCTTACACCAAGAACATTGTCCGAGATATATAGAAATAATCAGAACATTTGGTTATTTGCTTCAGAACTTCTTACAACCAAGCGGTGTTGGCAAGACCTTTTGCATTAATGAAAAATCAAAAAACTCATTTATATTTGTCTACAAGTGTATTTTTATTATAATAAAGTTGTTATATTATTTTTTGATTAAATGTCCGTTGCGTCCGTGTATTCTTGATATTCTCCAGAGATTTGTGTCCCGCTAAAATGGTAAATTATAATATTAACCAGTCCTCACGTAAGGCCTCCATCTTGCTTACACTGGTGTAAGGTGTTACTGCCTAATGCCTTCATTCGTCTGTGTTATTTGTTCTTTCCTGTACCGATCATTGAATCCTCTAGACCAAACCCCCAAAAACCCTTTGGAAACGCTTAAGAGATAGAGTTAGTGATATTTTAGGAATAGGGATAATTGGTCATACCCTTCATCTTCCGCCTTAATTGTTCCGTGTTGCATGGTTTTTGGATGTTGAACTGTGTTAACCTTAACCTTCTTATGAACTTTCTGAACCTTGAACCTCCTTGTTTAGTGATAGGTGCTCCTCAGGTACCACTACCCATCTTGCTCGCTGGGTCTTTTGAACTTTATGCTTAATCCTAGCCGAAAGATAAATTTATATAAAACTATATGTAATCTTTTGGTACTGAGCTGGGAGGTGTTCTCGCTCTAGAATTTGGAATTCAACTGAATATTCTAGGCAGCGTACAGAGTCAAGTCGTTTTTGGGGTCGAATATAAAACCACAGACTACTTGTTTGCTTGTTTTAAATAAAAAGTGAATACCCGTAACCTATAATGAGCTGACCAAAGAACACCTAATGATTTAGAGGCGTAACGCCAATCTCCACATGCAAACAATATTTCACGCTGGCCCTCCCCCCACCTTTTCAATATTCAAGAAAGCCGGAAAATGTTCAAAGTGCTATAAAACAGTATGTCTCTGCTCGGACTGCGTTTCTTAAGTGAGCCCTGAACTTTGACTTATATAGCTTAATTACGTAGAGTGGTCTCAATAAAATCAAATCAAATGTGATAGAATCTGAAGTGAAATTAAAAATCAACTGGCGTCGTCAATTAAAAAAGAGGCACTAGATAAATGAAACTCCATGGCAGTTCAATGGTCAAAAGGCAAACCTACAAGTGGTGAGAGCTCGGCCAGTCAGCCGAACAGACACAGGCCATCCGTTGGATGGTGTTTATCCTGGATTCAGTTGGAATCAATGGCCGGCGCGGCGCTTTATTGAATGAATTAGACGGGCATTGGATAGATGGGCACTCCATTGACTGGTCAGCCAGCCCGTAAGCCTAATGTAAACCCTCCCCCCAATGCTCCGCGCCAGCAGATGTCGTTGGATCTACACAGAAAACGTCCATTAGCTAAGCAGATTAATTGCTAAAAGGTATTTAATTCGTGATTCCTTTATATTTCAGCGCGCCTTTCTCCGCTCCGCCGCAGTTCCCGAGAAGCACTCATCCAGTCATCCATCGCTCCAGCCTGACGCATTTTTCACTTCCCTCACTCAGCTTTTCCTTTATTCCGGCTCTACTTTATTTTTCTGTTCCACTCCACGCTGTGCTTTTTGAGCTCCTTGGAAATATGGCGTTAAGAATACTCCCCTCTGCCTTTATTTTCTTGTCACTTTTTAATGCTTCATTAGCTGCTAATGGATTCGGGGTACGGACTACTGAAGGTCGAAAAATGTGGCTGGAAAAAGTGTCTGTGATTTGCCTTTGTGTGAAATTCATTTCAAAAGCATTCAAAATCATAGAATTACAATGCGGTTTTCCGAAGAATTTTAATACAGGAAAAATAAAAAAAATTACAATTTATGTGCCCATTTTTAAACCTAAGAGAAAACGACATCTGTCAGCCATAACCAGAAGTCATCACTTAAAAGAGACTAGTTCAGCTCAGAGACATTTCTGGTTGAAGGAAAAACATATGGAAATTTCCAAAAATTAAGAAATAATAATTAGAAATAAACGCTTTTTAAGTGTAAGTGTATTTTTATTATAATAAAGTTGAAATACTATTATTTTACTTGTTCTATTTCCGTTTTCTCATCCTTAAGTATCATCTAAAACGGAAAAGTTATTATTAATAAATCATAGAACACGTTTTTTATCATGCTTGCGAAAGTTGTTTTTGTGCTACTGCCACTTTGTTCATCGTGCTTTGTTCCTCTACCGATTTTTAACATCCTTGCCGCAAATTAGTTTGGAGGGGGACGCTAAATAGATATATCCAGTTAAGGGTATTCTTAGAATAGGGATAATCGGTCTTACCCGCCTGCATCTTCCGCCTTAATTGATCCGTGTGTCATTGTTTCTTAATACATTTTGTGAGCTCCAACGTTTCGGTGGTATGTGCCGAGTCTTTGAAACCTCATCTTATAAAATATATATTTATAAGAAAAATGTTTTGGTTTTGTAACGGGTGCTCCTCAGCTCCCACTGCATATTTTCCTCAGAGATCTTTTTCACTTTATGCTTAAACCTAACCAAAAATATAAATTTTTATAAAATATACACTTTTAATCAATTTTGTACTGAGCCAGGAGCTGTGCTCGCTCTGGAATTTGGAATTCAACTGAATATTCCTGGCAGCGTTTAGAGGCAAGTTGAATTTGGGGCCGAATAGAAAACCACAGACTGCTTGTTTGCTTATTAAAATATCTATGAAACGGTGAAACTGAGCCCAAATGATTGTATTAGGAACACTTGTTAGTATGAACCGGTTTCCCTGAAATTAATGCGGTTTTCCCAAGTATTTTTAGTACATGCAAAATAACCAAATTAAAGAAATGTAAGAATATGCCTCTGCCAAGGACATCTGTCAGTGGCACGAATCACAGTTTCTAAGCGATGTACATCTACATTGTCCGCCCATCCATACTAGACAAGAGGGATGGAAAATAGAAAAAACTTTTGTGATTTATGTGCAAATAAAACAGAAAAGCTAGTTTTATGTTAAAGAAAGATGAAGAGAGGGAGTGCCATTCAGGTGGCAATGAAGTAGGACATCAGGCAGAAAATGAAAATTACCGCTGCAGCTGTTGTCAAGGTAAACAAGCAGAACGCCGCTAGGAGGACAACATTCCAGGCAAACGATGCAGCCAGGCTCAGCCAGGAGAGGCAGTTGGAGCGGAGTAAGTTTAGAGCAAAAAGGAAAAGCGTCAGCTGCGCCTAAAGTGAAAGCCTCTCGGGCAAAGTTCGTCAGATTTCATAAAGAATAAAAGGGAACAGAAAGTTGGAAAATCTAAAAACAAACTTTTATAGAGTAAAAAAGAAAAGAAATAACTAATATTTACACTTTAAAAATAAGGCTTAAATACATTTTATTTATAGTATTTATTACCACCAAAAATTTAGTAAACAGGAAAGCTCGTCAACTGGAATAGTATTTTGTGTTATTAATTATGTTGGGGGGTTTCGTAGTGGCACCTATATGACATTCTCGTACATCTTTGGATTGCGCTGGATATTCTCCTCCATGATCTTCTTTTGTGACATCTCCAACATCTCCAACCTGAGCAGGACATCAGGTACGACCTCTCGCACCTTAAGGCGATTGAACTCGTTACCGTCGCGCGTATCCACATTGGTTCTGAAGTTATAATTAGGCGTGTAGCCATTGATCTTGAGGAAGTGGTCAAAGTAGAAGGGCACGATCTGTTCCTGCATGTTATCTGCAGTCAGTAGGGACGTGGTGATTTGGTCGCCGGTGTATCCGTCCTCCCTGAAGGCTCGCACAAAGTTCTTCGTGTGCTCGGAGATCACAATCACTTCCTTCTCCTCCGGAACGACCCTCTTCTTGAGGTAAAGCCTCGGCAGACGGCCCTCGCGCTTTGGCTTCTTGTAGGGCGGCTCGAGGTTCTTGCGTACCTTTTTCATCTCCATATCAATGCGACGCTCCACCTGGTAGGCCTGGGCCGAAATCTTCTCGCGGTAGCGTCGCTCCTTGCGCAACGTGGCTTCCAAGGACCGGATCTTATCAATGTCCAGGTGCTCGAACTTGGACAGAATATCCATGACCACGTCGCTAATGGCAGCCACCATGTCGGTGGTGTTGGGCAAGACGTCACTTGTGCCCCGCACTGAGTCCGGAACCACGCGACGCCACACCTCGGCCAGCACGGCACGATGCTTGTTAAAGTCTTCGTCCGCAATGGTATTCTCAATAGGCTTTCCCAGATACTCATGAACCCTGTTTTCCATATCCATGGCCCGGTCCTCCATAAAGAACTTCTTGGCCGACTTGCGAGCGACATACTCCTGCTTCTCCTTTAGGTCATTGGTGCACCAATCGACAAAGGTCTCCAGACGACCCTGTAGCTCGGTGTGAATGGAGAGCGTGAAATGCATCTCCAGCAGCAGCATGAAAGTCTTGTTCTTCAGGTTTTCTAGGCCTTGCAGGAAAGCGTCTGCATCGGGGAACACCTGCAGAATCGGGTGGGTCTTCTGCATGTATACGTCATAGTAGAAGGCGCGAATGGCCCAGGCATCGTCCTTGTCCCGCACACGAATATTAACAATAGATCGCTTCGCAATGGATATATCGTACGGCTCAAGCTCCATGTGCTCCTCATCCGCTTCTTCAGGCGCTTCCGGCTCCTGCTCCTCGGAGCCTTCAACATCGCTGGTGTGTCGCTTGGTTTTCGGTATCAAATGTATCCAGTCGTGCTCCGCACGCCAGTCCTGGTCCCCCATCAGGTAATGGAAATTCTGCAGCATAATGCACCGGATCCAGTGGCCCTCGATGAACACAATGTCCATGTTGAGCATCATTAGCTCCCGCTCCAGTTCGCGATACTCCTGCTTCAGCTTGTCCGTGGTCTCGTAATACGACTTCACCTGGTAGACCATCGTCATGGCCGCGTTGTACTCCTTCTTCTGCCACTTGGCGAACAGGGCCTCGTATAGACTCTTCGTGTTCTTCATGTCCACCCAGTGACGTTCATTCATCCGGTCGTAGATCTTGGTGCGCACCATTTGGCCCTGAATCAGCAAGGACTCGTACTTCAGCCGCATGGCGTCCTTCAGGAGCTGAATGCTAGTCTTAAACTTGAACGGTTTGATGGTTGCGCGACTCTTCAGTTCCTCGATGTAGTTCTCGTCCAGGTCCGTGATCACAGCCCCGTAGTACTTGCGAGCCCCGGGTCCCAGGAGAGTGTTGCGCACGTCCGGCACTGGCACCTCGAGACGCATGCGAAGGCTGTTTCGCAGCCGCGTGCTGAAGGTAAAAAACGTATCCTTGGGTCCCAACATATCGGCCTGCTCCTTGTGCTGGCCCGAAAAGGGCAGCATACGGAAGGGATTCGCGTCCTCTGCATTCACGTCAATCACCGCGGCATGAAAGCGGCCGCGTCGCATCTCCTCGAAGGGTACCAACGGCTTTCGGATGTAGTCCAGGGGCAACTTGGTCTTATCCCCGATCACCATGTAGCTGCCGCTGTCGTTTGACAGATCCGTGCAAGTCGAGCTACTCAAGGAGCTGAGGCAGTTCTCGATGCTTTTAAGATCCTCCTCTAGATCGGCGACGACAGCGCGCCGGTCCACTAACAGCCGCTCCTCGCCTGGCTCGATGTCCTTTGTCTCGTAAATGGCCTCGCGGGTTTCTCGCAACAGCTCTAGGTACTGCTTTCGTCCGGGAAAGTCCAGCTTCGCCAGTTCCTCTGGGTCCCGAGAGTGAAAGACAAAGTCGTAGGGATGACAGAGGTTCTGGACCACTTCGCCGGCAGCCTCCTTGTTGTCGGTGCGGGTGACGGCCAAATGGTCGGCTATCATCTGATTAAAGTCGTAGCTGGGCATGGTCAGGTCCTTGTCTACATACTTGCTGCTGGGCGGGTTTGCCCTCTCGAACTTGGCCACCATTCGCGGTGGCTTCTTGGCCAACTTGGTGATTTCCGGAATCACCGTCTTTGGCTGGTACTGCACATGTACGTTCTTCACCTGGGTCGGGGACCAGTGATCGTGGTGGTGACGCGCCTCTAATATATCCGTATACGGACGCTTCTTGGAGCGCACATTAGCGAAGCGGACCTTCTCCGGTTCCGGCTGCTCTAGCAGTGGCACTGTGGACGTCTTTAGGACCTCGTTGAATATGGCCGATGGAATGCGCTCGGCAGCGTAGTCGCGCATTCGGCGCGGGTGTGTCGTCAGGGTTTTCTCACGTTCTTCGGGTGCCGGCATGTTACCCCGGTAGCGGGCAGGCTGGTTAGCACCACCTGCACGGAATCGTCCACGAGAGTATATCTTGGGGGCAGGAGTGGGTCGCTGAATGGTCGGAGATCGAGTGAACCCGTGAAGTCTTGTTGGAGCACGGTCACAGCCGGCCTCTAGGCGCTCATTAGGCTCGCCTTCAGCCTGGCCCTGGCCATCGTCGTAGGGGGGTTCAGGAACGGGCACCCAATCCATGTCTAGGTCCTCCTCCTCCTGAAGACAAGGATCAGCCACCCGCAACTGCTCCTTCTCGATGCAGGGCAGGCCAAGCAATTGCATGCGGGCTAGCTTTTTCTTATGCAGCTTGGACTTGGCCAACTGCTGCTTGAGGTTAAGGTACTCCTGCGTGGTCTTCACTTTGGTGGAGTCGAGCACCTCCATCTCCTCCACTGGCACTCGATCATCGGGCACAATAACCTTCTCGGGAAACACATACCGGATGAGATTAAACTTGCGCACGTTGTAGGCCGGCTTCGGCTTGACGAGCTTGAGGTTCTTGCGCAGCCGGCGGTGGTAATGGAGACCCAAACGCTGGTCGATAAACTCCCGCACGGCACTCTGGCGTTCGCGCCGTTTCATGAGCAGCGGCTCGGGAGGGAAGAGGTCCAAGTTGGGATCGTCAGGATCAAGAACCTTTACCAAATTTACATAAAATTTAATCTTTACGATAGAAACTAGAGTTTGGATTACTCACCTTAATGATCCCGCGTTCGACGTCCAGCTTAATGGGCTCCTTGTGCGGCACCAACTGATTCAGCCACTCATCCCGCGTCAGGCAGCCCTTCACCGTGCGCTGTCCTTGCATGATTTGGTGGCGATGCAGCTTCCCGCGGAGACCGTCGCCGTGTTTGAAATGGAAGCCACGCAGCTGGAACTTGTCTCCGATTTTGCCTACCTGCAGGTAGTCCTCGTCATCGCTGCTCTGCTCGCTAGGCGTGGAGCCCACACTGCCCTCGATGCTTTCATCGCAGCGCAGCTTCTGCTCCGCGTCCGGCATGTACTTCAGTTTCCCGGTGCGCTCTAGGTAAAATTGCTGGGTGACCTTGGCCTTGTCCCGGCGCACACAGTCTTCTCGGTGCATGATTGACTTCAGGCGCTCCGTCTCCGTCAGCGTCTTGGGGAAGACCTTCCTCTTCCGGATGATGGGCTTGAGCTCCACATGCTTCCGAAAGCTACGCTCAATCGCGTCGTCGATGACGGCGACGTCGTCGCGAAGGTCCTTCTCGGCCACGGTTCGGCCCTCGATTTCTTTGATGGCCACTTCCTGCTTGCGGCGCTCCTCTAGCTGCTCCTCCTCGCGTTGCTTCTTTCGCAGGTAGATATCCTTGTAGCGTGCCGCCCGTCGCTTGCCCTCCTCCTCGATCTTGCGCTTGTTGGCCGGCTTATCCGGACTGCGGTACAAGTGTACGAGCCGATTAGGTCGAGGCCACGTCGGCTCCTCCACGGGCATATCCTTGATCGTAGTGTTGAAGCGCTGCGGCACGGCCAGGCGCTCCTCCTTCAGCTCTTTCTCCACAGTCACCTTCGTATTCTTCTTCACCTTGCGACGCGCCATGTACCGTTGAACGCGCCAGAAGGTCAGGGTATTCTGCTGCTCAATCTCGTCCTGCTCGAAGGTTGTCTTGTAATCCATGCCGTGAAAGTCCAGGCCCAGCGGGTTCTGCAGGTCAATCACCTCGCAGATGTGCGTGTCAGAGGTCTCCGAGCCAGTGCTGGCGCAGAGATTGTCGCCATGCTTTACCAGCTTGCTGATCAGGCTAAACTCCTCCTCCTTCGTCAGCGGCTTGTGGCGCAGAGCCACTGGATTGATCAGGCAGTAGGACTTGCGTGGGTCCTGCGTGAGGAAGAACTTTTGGCGCGCCGCAGTCAGCTTGGCCAACTCCTCGTAATCCGTCGGGCAGCGACCCAAGCGACGCCGCTGAGCTCCCGCCACAAAGCTGGCCGAGCACGGGCGATTCCATTCGTCGCCCTGGAAGTTGGGCGGATGGGTGGAGGGCTGATGAACCGAGTCAACCAGCTCCTCTGAGCCCGGCGCATTTACTACCATCCGTTTGAAGCTGTGGCGCTCGGAATTTTCGGCCTGCGACTTGTGCGTTGTTACGGACCCGGTGCAGCTGGTCGCTTTGATCTTAACGGTCTCAACACCGTCTCTGAAGTGGGAGTTGCTTGAGCTGCCAAAGTCTCGGCCCCTGTCTCGGATCACACTCTTACCGCACTCGTCGCGCTTGCTCAGCTCAGTGCGAGCGATATTGGCATCCGGAAACTCAAGGTTCTGGACCGTCAGTATGTTGTTCGAGTCGCGTTTGCCGAAGAAGTCGATGTTCCGGAACTTCTCAATGGTTCTCTCCTCCTTTGCCTTCCTGCCCGACTGCTTTCGCTGTGGGCAAACCCGCTTCCCTGAGTCGTCGGCCTTGGGTTTCATGCCATATATAAAACTTCCGCTAGTTTCACTTTTAACCTCAGCGGTCTTTACCGCTGATTTCCCTTTCCTGCCGACCGACCCTTTTTTGGAGTTTTTCGAGAAGCTCGACATTCTGAGATTTATATTAGGATATCTTATGTTTTAAAATAGGGAAAATAATGTAATGGAACTGATAAAACCGATATCTTGATAGTCACCTGTAGCTGTTTCTTCAAATTGCATTACCAAATATAATACACCGGTACACAAGAGGCAAGTTTATCATAGGCAGGTCACAGGCTTGTTCTCAGGCTGTTTTTCCATTGGACTTACAGGGTGAATCCTAATGCCATGGTTCCTAAGTTAAGAGATCATGTCGAGAGCAATCTGAAAATAAAATCAAGTAGAAAAGGATACAAGAATGTGTTTTAGTAAGTTTACTTTTCACTTCTCTTTTTTACTTCTAAAGAATCATAGCTCTTTAGTTGGATATCCGTTCTTGCAAGCCAGATTGATTTACTCTCGGAACCACTACTCGCCACTCATATTGCCGGCCATCTCATTGTGGTTGCTTTGCTACTAAAATTAAATCAGGGGAAATTGCCTGGTCTGAGCAGTGGCAAATTTACGTATAATGGAATTTGCACCGCCAATTGCATTGGCCAGTAGCCACACCGACTGCAGCAGCAGCGATGACAAAGGAGCCTGTGAGGTTCTATTCCCCGAGGACATAAAAAGGGCTCAATAGGAGGATTGCACAGCACTGTGGAAAATGTACAATTTTATCAACTATTATTTATTTTATACAAATAGTTTGTATGATAAATATAGCTGGGGCTATAAGTGAATGTGTAAATTATCTAAATAATAATAATAAATTACCAAAAAAATAAAAATAAAATAATACTGTTTTTAGAGACTGCTGCTTTATTTAAGTACTAATGTTTCCTTTTCTGTTCTGCAAACCTTGGACTAAAATTAAACAAAGACTAAATTACGTTTTGCCCATAGTGAGAACTGGTGTGAAAGTTTCATGAAATGAAGCGCCAAATGGACGTGGCTGCCATGATTTCATCGGTTGCTTTGTCCTGCGTGAATGTGAGCGGTTGCATGAAAATATAATACAAAATTACAAAAGACAACGAGTGTCAGGCCACCAAAAGTAGAGAGTAGACAGACATATAAATTTACTTAACAATAACCACAGCACATAAAAACCAAGCAGTCACTTGAATAAGAAACATTAAAAAAACATAAGAAGTTCATCTCGTTCTACCTTAAAATACCTCAAAACTAAAGATTTAATGGTATTTATCGAATGTCCTTTACCAATTCAGAGAACCAAGCAGTACTATACTTAATTTTTACGATAGTTGACGGGGATTGGTGAACGCCCACTGTGACCATGTGGCCAGTGCCTGACTGCTACAAGCCTTCGCCATGCTCTGTGGCTACTGGCCAGCCCGGATATGGGGCTGAATCAGGGTGGAAGGAGTGACCAGTGCTTGGCTTTTTGCAGCTGTAATCAATATGCAAACAAACCATTTGCGCAATAATTACAAAGTAATGCAGCCCCAACGCGAAACGTAAAAATAAACGGCAGCTGCCAACGATTCGCTTGATGACTTGACCAAGGGCTTTAGTCAAATGGGGGGTGGTGTCCATGGAAATCAGAGCCGGCGGTAGCTGGCTTGGTGTGGGCTTGTGGCATGGCACATTGAGGCCATGCCATCGCAGTGTCTGTTCTGAATGACGGCCAATCGGTTGCCAATGATAAAGCAATTAATTTGTAATTAAATCGATGATGCAATTGCAAATACCATAGGCTAATAGAAACAGGCAACTGTAATTTAAAAATAAAGCACAGAAAAAGCACAGAGCGGTAAAAGAAATAATAGTTACCCAGCGATAGAGGGTGTAATTTAATGTCCCTCGACTATATATCCTTAAAATAGCACACATAAAATTATGCCAATCGAAAATTAAAATTAACGTTGAGGTAGTGGATTAATCAAAAGGCTGATGTGCATTTTTCACGCCATTTGCCACCAAACCGAAACTGAAAATCGATTAGTTTTTAAGCCATTAAGACAGACCACTACACAGAAAAAAATCAAAGTTTTAAGAATATTTTGCCACTATTATTTTCAATATATTTTCAAATTTAAAAAGAACATAATTCGCTGTGACTTCGTATCGCAGATCCTAAGTTCTCCCTCTCCACAGTGGCCCTGCATTGGTTTTGCCATTAGAATATATTGGAAAATGCTAACTATTTGGTTTTTGTAAAATGGCAAAGACAGCAAAAACAATATAATTTTATTTCTATAAATTAAGAAGCAGTAGTATAGTTTTTATTTTATCAAAAAACAAATCAAATTGATATTTAAATTTGCTTTAATTTTTTTTTTTTTTGTCAGTGCATTCGAATGTGGATGGTCAGTTGTCGAATCGATTTTCCATCAACTTTGACGGTTATTCAATAAAAAATTACTTTATTTTGTAATTAAATCGTTCACCGGGCCTGGACCTACAGCTGCTCCCGCGTTCTCCTGCCACCCACCCATCTCTTTCGGTTGGCTCCCAGTCAGCTGGGTTCGCTGCTGATGCTCTGCCTCCTTCGATATGCTGCGGCAACTGTACTCCATCGTTTTGTTAGGAAATCGCTTGGGTTGCATTTTAAAATGCAATTTGTTAGCATGACTTTGTTGTTATTGTTGTCATTATTCCCCCCCTGCCTCCACCCCCCTGCTGAAGCTCTCTATCTCTGGTGGCTGGCACATAAATCACGGCAATTTATTTATGACACTATTTACAGGAAGCCAAGGGACCGGGCGGAAGAGGGCGGGACGACTTGGAGGGGTTGACAACAGCTGGTAGTTGCCGCTCCATTCGTTCGGTCGGTCTCCACGTGCACTCTACTTAAATAACAATTTCAATATATTGAAATTTACTTTGTCACATGAAAGCTAAACAGCTTGAACTCTGCGGCGAGGCGCAGTCATGACGAAGGAGATCTGTGATGGCATTGGCACTGGCACCCATACGGCCACGCCTCCGAGCGCCACCCGTCCTTGGGTGATGGGTGATGGGTTTCCCCCACTTGCCTCGTGTATGTAGGTATTGGAAAAGTGCTACCGTTGCACGCTTTCATTTTATGCTATTTACATTTTTATATTTTTGCTCTACGACACACCGCAAACAATTTTTACTGCCCCTTTCGGAGAGAGAGGGTATAAGTGCTTACTCTTCAGGTTTGTGACATCAACTGAAAACGGTTTTATCTTACATTTTTATTACAAACAAGTTTAAGGTCCATTTTATTTGTATTGTAATTACTATAATTATTTTAAAATAAACTTGAGTTATTATAAAATATTTGTACTTCCCGAATATACATAGTTTCCAGCTTGGTTTTAAGTCATTAAAAGCGTTAAATTTGCAACTCAAAAAAACCAACAAAAATAATTTGCATTAAATTTGTATTATTTCCAAAAACAAAATAAACAAAACATTATAAATAAAATTTCGTTTCTCATTAAAACAAAATCCTTACATCATTATTGAGTTGATAAATATTCTCCAAAGGGTATTTCCTCTTCATCATATTAGATCTCTCGTTTTGCTTACGTTTTATTTTTCTTTTTACAATTTGTTTTTCAATTTTGTTATGTTCTCTCCTCCCCCGTGGAAGGCCATACCTTTTTCAGTTTTTGTACCCATTCAGGCACTGTCTGCAGTTTTTAACATACAAGACTCCATCGTGGCCAGTGCCAGGAAAGAGCTTGGGTAATGGCGGGGAGCAGAGTGGAGCGAAGTGGCGTAGAGTGGGCTGTGTTGGGTGAATCGTGTTGCCGGCATGGGGTCGGCATCCTCTCAAAAAGACATCAGGTGCTGCACGTTGTGCAGCAGCTTATCTCAAATGATTTATAAACTACCAACAGTGGCGAGGCCAAAGCCATTGTCATTGCATAAAATATGCTAACAATACAGCAACATCAGCTGGGGGATCCGAAAGGAAGAATTCAAACAGAGACGAGTCGAGGAGGAGATGGAAGTTGTAGGCCCATCGGAGGATACCTGTTTCTGTTTGGGCCCATTCTTTGATTGATGTGGTAGCTGAATATGTTGTAGAATTCAGCGAACACAAGATCAAGGTCCTGAAAGCAAAAGATCCTTAAAAAACAGAGCCACAAGTTATAAACATTTTTTAGATGAACATTTTTAGATGGTTAAAAATACATTAAAGAAAAAATAAATTTATTTAAAACTCCCATAAGTGCCTTATCATCTAAACTATTAAAGTGACAAAAAGCAATAGAATACATTTTTTCCTATACACAAGGAATTATTTTTGTTATTCAATTCGGGGTCATATACAAGGAAAAAAGCACTCGTGGCAGAAGTAACAGGCATAATAAGTGCTAAGCAAGTGAGGCGTCTTCAGGTAAACTTACCTCCACCAAGCCTAGCGCCCCTGCCCCCCTTCCATTATGTAATTGTTACCGAACTTAATAAAAATAATTTTCATGACGGAAGCTCCTGGCACCCAGCAGCCTCCTGTGAAACATAATGCCCTGTCAAATGTATTTCAAAGGACCAACTCGGTTGCCGTTCGAGATGCCCCCACCAGTCGCAGCTCCTGTTCCTGCACAGTCTCCTTTCTTCCTTCCTCCATTCCGAGATGGTGATGCAGGCGATGAAGTCCTTGTTGCCGATACGGGCTTCGAATTACCCAAAAGAAAATGGCGACAAAAGTACATTTCCACACAGAAACTCGTCAGAAAATGGAAATCCAAAGCAAGTCAGCAGGACTCGTAAGGCAGTCTTCTATATATTTCCTTTTTTACTGAAATGAAAGTCAGTTAATTTGATTTGAAAATGTAGAATGCTCAGCTGACAAAGTAGGCTCAGAACTCAGCCGGAAGCGTAGAGGCTACTAAACGTGTTGCCTTTGTTGCTCAGGTAACGTCCTAAGAGAGAATTTCATATATTTTTTTTCAGAAAAATCTACAGGAACATAGTTACGTCACATGAATTACCCACAGTTTGGCCTTCCTTTGGTATATTTTTAGTAAACTCAACATACTCTTTATTCTTCATTTATAACACATGACATTTAATGGAACATACAATTGCAGTCTAAAGTAGAACCGCCCACTCACAAATTTTCATTTCAACTAATAACGTTCAACAAATTTGCAAATCCACTTAATTAAATTAGTATTCTGTCTCTGGCTAATTTATGTCAGCACTCGTTGTTCGATTTGAAAGCTTCGTAAATTACAATTGAGTATTAATTGATTTCGAGCTTCAAGTACAGAGAGCACTCGCATGACTGATAAATGCATTTTTGGTCTTCATTAACCCATTACAAATTATCTCTGCAAACAGACAAATAACATATGTACATATTTGTAGATGCATAAATGCCAGTTGAAATGGCATCATATTGGAATTGGAATAAATTCGCCAAAGGAATTATATTATGATGGAAATAGAGATGTTGGCTGTGGCACGAAGGGAGGGAGGCCTACAGTCGGATAAATTGAAGCCATTGCAATTGTTATTTCAATTAATTTTCAATTAAAAATAGGTTTAATTTTATATAATCGGGATGACCAGACAGGGAAGGGACGGCTTTGTGGCATGGGAAAAACTATGGGACTTGGCAGGGAGGAGTGTGAAATCTGTAGAGATGGTGAGGGGAAATTTTCTTGTCGGAAAATTACAGCAAGTATAGTCATACCATATCACGTAATAAGCCACATTCTTCTTTAAGCAAATGCGTAAAGGATTAACTTCACATTAACCCTACGATGGCCCGTCCTTACACATGTTGGTCAGCTGGAATGAAACCAGAACTGACCACAACAATGGACTTTGCTTTATTATGCAGAAGCACGACAATATAATGCACAATGCCAGAAGGAGAGGAAGTTGCAATGGCGGATGCCAGGTCCAACTGGATAAGTCAAGAAGAATTGCAGCTTGGATATTCTTTATCATTCCCGTGCAGGCTTGAGCTGACAGTGTCGAAAGCTACAGCTGGCAAAGACGTAATGTGACAGCAGATGGGAAACTTCCACCGGATTCGAAAGTCCGGAGAATACACTGACCCAGTCACCTTGTTTCTGCAGCATTCATAGCAGATCACGATACTCATAATGCGTCCACCTTTAATGGCGTCCGCATCCTGACGAAGACCCAATGTGACGCAAACCACAATGCCAGGGCTCTGAGCCTGCAGTCAGCTCAGGGTCCCCGAGATATCGCAGATCCTGCCGGCTGCCTTCTGCCGCTTCTTTCTCATTTCTCCTCCTGATTTTCGCAAATTTCGCCCAGCATCGCATATTTCAGTTGTCATTTTTGCTGTTTTGTCAGTTCTGCTTTTGCCACAACTGGCGATGCAAAGTGGGCGGTGCGCGGAGGGTCCTTGAGTCCCTGTATCTCTGTGTCCATTGCAGCGGCATTTCCGCTGGCAGGCAACGCAGCTGCGGTGGCAACTGCCACAAACAATTTTGACATTGCCGTGCAGAGTTTCGGAGTGCAAGCCTCGGGCTGGCCAGCAGTGCCGCCAGTGCTTCGGACAGGATGTGCAAGGATATTGTGAAATCAACGTAATGGCGGAACATTAACATGGCTGCTCCGAGAGGCAAGGCACGCGAAATCTGCAAAAAGAAAGGCTATCCTGGCACAGGTGGAAATTACCTGGCCTTTGCTCCCATTTTTTGATATCCTGTGAAAGTAAGCCTAGCCCCTAAACCCAGCTTTTACCGGATATATGATCGAGTTTCCCATTTATTACAATCACTTTTCAGAATAACATTAAAGTTTAGGAATACAAAATAATAAAAACTCTATAGTTTTTGATAAAAAATTAAATTTTAAACATAGGTAATTGAGATTTCCCGATTGAGATTTCCCCTCGAAACGATATCCTTTCATGAAACTTGGTTACAAAGCTCACCACAGTTTTTCTGCGTCCTTACCTGTCACTCTACTGAATTTTTCAATGCGCTGCAAAGTTTTTAATTGAAAGTTGTAAGCCTTAATTGGTGGTGGCCCAGTGCCGCGCCTCTAGCGCTTGTTACACGATTTCCTTTTTGCCAGCCCTGCGAATCTCTGTGATGATGGAGCTCATCTAGACCGCCGACGCCGGCAGTGCCTTTTACAGCCACGAAAGTGTGTTGGCTTATGGAAAGCTCTTCAGCGCCCGCGTATTGTGGAGTGAAAGGCAAATTTACCTTTTCGGTCCAGGTATAAAATAATTATAATTTGCAAATTTCCCCGTTAGCTCGGAGGTTGTTTAATTTTGTGTGCAAATTGCTAAAAGTTCGCTAAGTCGCGTCGCCATTGCTGAATAATTCTTTTTCTGATTTTTTGTTCACTCATTTTTTTTACGTTTTTACTGCCACCGCCCGGGGGTGGGGAAATCTGTGGAAACGGGAAACGCATTCTCGAACATTTATTTTTTGTGGCATTTATTTTAATTAAATGAGTTCACAGCTCTTGCGCCGAGCCGCACTGTACGTTGTAGTGTAATAATAACAATATATAAAACTGTTGCTGTTCCGCAACAGAACATCAGAACACCAACAACGTAAACAACTTTTAATAACCAATGATGGCGACGGTAGCCCAGAGGGGAATGGAATTATTAAAAATTGTCTTTTACTCAGTTGCAGGTTTGCAAATGCCCTCTTTTTGGGAGTTTTATAAGCTAGCATGATATATATTACTTTACTATAATTGATTTTTTCGTTGTTAAAAAAAAAATAATAATAATACAATAGAAAATATTTTGGAATATTTTTTGGCATGTTTCAACCGAATGTTCTTTATTCTTAAGTTTTTCATACTCTTGCATAACAGTTAAATTTTAATTAATACATAAAAAAAACTTGTCACACGTTTCACAACATTTCACAAAATAATTGCCATATATAACACTGTAAAATATATTCTGTTTATCTTTAAAGATTGTTTTTTTTTAAGCCAAATTTCATCTTAAAATATAATAGTCTGACATCTGCAAGTGTATAATTATTCATTATTTTCAGACGAACATATGTACAAAATGCATTCACTTGAAAGTACAGTTGCGAAGAAGATAATATCACTAAAGAAAGTTTAAGATATTTGAATTTAATAATATTGTATTTAATAATGTACAGCTTACTCGTAATAATTTAATTAAATATATTAGAAAAAATAATTCTCTAAATTATTTTAGAGAAAATAAGTATTTGATATAATATATTTTATTCAACTATGAAACAAATATTTCTAAGAATATTTTTAAAAAATACTTTAAGAAATCTTAAGCCTTTGTTGCTATTATTTTGTCCTCATCTGTATTTACATTCTTTCGTGTTGATGTGAGAAGAGAAGGATTTCAGTTTTTAATTAAATTGTTATTGAAGTGCGTCGCAATAAACGGAAATGCTCAGGCGTTTAAATGGAAACGACATGAAAAAAAAACAAACAGATGACCCACAAAGAACCGCGCCAACCTTCTGGTGACCCCATATCGCACCAGAATTAAGTCTTTCTGAATGGTAAATTATTTTAATATTTTTTAAATAAATTATAGTTTAATTTGAATGCTAAAAAGGTTTGTGTAAAAAATAAAATACTCAGGACTCTCAACAAGTCTGTATTACGTAAGAATAGAAAATAATATTACAATTTCCGTATTTATATTAAATAACAAGACACTATTAAGATTAATCTACTTTGTAGAGCCACCAAAAATTAAAAAAAAAAAAATAACTTTGCCTTTGTGTTCCTTTCATGTTTGAAATAATTTTCACAAAATGTCAGACTACTTTTATTGAGGCCCCTTTTCAAAATTAACAATTTTAGGATATGCTTTCCTTTTGATGATTCTTGGGCACGGCATCCTTTTAAAATATTAGCTACACACTGGCGGAGTTTTTGAATTGCAATTTTGGTACCCATTTAAATGGCGACAGCGCCAAAGCGAAAACCCGAAGGCGAAGGTAAATACTAAAAAACAGCACAAGCATCGCTAAAACACCGCACCTTCCACTAGTCATCGGAGCCAGCTCTTCTCAAGACCTCGTCACTGACCAGAACTCGGGTCGTCGCCAGGAGCAGAAGGTATACACCTTTGCCGACCGGCCGCAACAAAGGACATCGGGTACTGGGAACTTAGCCAAGGCCGAAGACAAGAGCAAGCCACAGAAAACCATTCTCGAGGAGCATGGCATCATTCTGGGAAAGGTGATTGGCACGGGCAACTACGCCAAGGTCAAGATTGGTTTCTCCGAGGAATACGGCAAGCGGGTGGCAGTGAAAATAATCTCGAAGGTCAAGGCTCCATCAGAGTACACGCAAAAGTTTCTGCCGCGCGAGATCGAAGCAGTAAAGGGTCTGCACCATGAGAACTTGATTACCTTTTACCAGAGTATCGAGACCAGTCACAGGTGAGTCTGGAATCCTAAAACCTCTCTCCTGATCTACCTGATTTCTTAATCTGTAATGATGTTTTATATTAAATTTATTTGTATTCCTGACTCTGTAGGGTTTACCTGATTATGCAGCTGGCAGAGAATGGAACACTGCTGGACTATGTGCGGGAACGGAAGTTCCTGGATGAACCGCAGTCGCGGACGCTGTTCAAGCAGCTCATCAGTGCAGTTGAGTATATCCACAGCAAGGGTGTAGTGCATCGCGACATCAAGTGCGAGAACCTGCTGTTGGACGAGAACTGGAACCTGAAACTCATAGACTTTGGGTTTGCACGCAAGGACACCAGAACATCCGACAACCAAGTGATCCTTTCCAAGACCTTTTGCGGCAGCTACGCCTATGCCAGCCCTGAGATTCTAAAGGGTAGGTTTTCAGTTTACATAAGGCATAATTATGTATTATTTTTTCCTTTTTTTTTTTAGGCGTGGCCTACGATCCCTTCATGTCGGACATCTGGGCCAGCGGTGTCGTCTGCTATGCGATGGTGTTTGGACGACTACCCTACGATGGCTCCAATGTGCACATCCTGCTGAAACGCATCAACCAATCGCTGGTTTTTCCCAAGACGCCAGCAGCCTCCAGCGAGTGCAAGCACATGATCATGCATATCCTTGCTCCAGTCAAGATTCGATACAATATTCCACAGGTGAAGGAAGACCCTTGGTATTCCCTAAAGTGAATTCTCTGGACTAGTTTCATGGTTTCATGGGTTTAAATTATTGAAGATTTTTTTAAATTTAATAAATTACAAGTTTAAAAGAGTAAAACAGAGTATTAATGGTACATGGACATTAAGTCCTAGAGCCACCGCCACCCTTAGTTACTTTGAACCAGTTCTCGCACCGGTTGAGTTGGCAGCTCCAGCCCTGTTGTCCGGTTACGTTGCCAACGGCAGGTGCCAAAACATCCAAAACAACAAACGGAAAACTTCAGTCTGGCTGTCAATCGAAATCCATTCGGCTAGAAGGTATCATTTGGGCATCAAGCTTGATAAATTGATGGCGGAGGTGCATATAATCGGACAGATATTAAAAGCAGTTGACTTCGCCGAGCCACACCTGTACTGCAAGTGGAGTCTGCAGAGCGGTAAGTGTGGCACAGGGCACTCGAATATGATTCTATCTCTCACTTCCTCTCTCTCTCGGAAGGTAACGCCTGGCGCCTAGTTCAGGGCGAGGTGCAGGGTCAGAGTCACGTGGGCTCACACCGGCTGCAGAACTGCTCTGACTTCGCCCAGCCACTGGACATCCACCTGAGTGCCGCATCCGTCCTCGGCTGGCCAAGGTTACTGGTGGAGGTGTACGCCGTTAACGTTCTGAACCAATCCTGGCCGGTGGGTTACGGCTTTGTGCATGTGCCAACCACACCCGGGTCACATCGCCTGGAAATCAGCACCTGGAAGGTGGCACCCAACGGCTGGTGGCAGTCGATCCGTGAACAATTCGGAGGCGGGGGAGCGGCTCTTAGCAAGACGGATCTGCTGTACTCTGGGGTAGAGCGGTAGGTAATGAATTCAACCTGACACTATAAAAATATATATCTCCTTGCTTCTTAGTTATAAGCTGCACACCCTCAGCTCTGGAAAAGTAATCGTAGATCTAAACCTAATCTTTCGGAAGTTTGAGGACTACGGCGTGGAATTTAAGTAGTCATGAAGAGACTACTGCTTTTAGCCGTGCTCTGCATGGCCACAATACCCTCACTTACACTTAAAATAGGAATCTCGCACGAATCAAATCCTACATCAACATTGCCTCCCACGACTACGGATTTACCAACTACCACGATTGCCGCCAACATTGACACTGGCAGCTCTGTTAGCCCACTGCCTGAGGTGGCCAGCACTACCGGCAATATCTTTCCGCCTCGCCCCAGGGCCACAGAAGCACCAGCAACTACCACGACAGTGGCCCCTCAAGTGGAAATAGATCCCTTTAATGCCACCATTCCTCCTTTCTATCCACTTATTTCAAAGGACAACCCACAATACTTCTGCTCCTGTGATCTGCAGTCGAGCAAGTGCGATGTTAACTGCTGCTGTGACCGTGACTGCCCGCCCGAGACTCTTCGAGTCTTCGATTGTAACTCGGAGTCGGCTCTGCCACTGCTTCAGTCTAGACTAGAGGACTTTCAGTATACCCACGGTCTGCCCACCTGCCAGATCAACGACGGATGGCTGTGTGTCTTTCGCAGCAACACGAAACCCGCCAAGACTCCTCCACTGATGGCAGATTTTGATGCTTCGCATTATCGAAAATGGCCTGATCTTTTGGAGGCCTACGAAACTGACTCCCCCGCGCAGGTTCCATCCTCGGAATCTCATTACAAATTCAGGCAGGCATTGCAATTGATACAGTCAGAGAACAAGCAACTGACCACCTTCGACCTGCCCACAGCCTATGAGGGCCCGCATTGTCAACTGAAGCAGTCCATTCGACACCTGCAGCCAATGAGCAGCAACTGCCTGATGAGGAACTCTATCCAGCTGCAGCAGAGTCTTTGGAGCATTCTCAATCTCACCGCCACACACGAGGTGTTGCCCAAGCCTCACGATAGAGACGAGCGGGAAGTGGCAGGACTTGTCATTGAGGTGTGTCCAAAAAGGGACGATGGCAAATTCAATTGCCTAGAGCGGGAAAATGACACACAACTGGATATCTTGGCGGAAAAAGTGGAAATTCAGGTGACCCACAATTTCACAAATATCATAGGGGTAAAAGTGTTGATTGAAGGCGAATCCTTTGCGGGGGATGACAACGAACCTCAGTGGTTGCATTATAAAGTTAATTTTATCGCTCAGAATGAGTCACATGCTAAACCCACTTCAAGTCCACTGGGATACTTGCCCGGCTCGCCCATAATAGTTTCCAGAATTATGCCACAGAACAATAGCGAGGAGCAGAAGCAATTAAGCTACTTTAATGGCCCAAAAAATTCCGATTACTTTCACTGGCTGCCCCTGCTCACACGGAAGTTTCGAGAAATGTCCTGCCAGCCTACGCTAGACCAGAAGGAAGTCCTACGTTTGGGTGTGGATATCGTTAAGCAGTGCCAGCTCCAGCAAGCTGCGCCTCTTCTCCAGGAAAATGCCAACCACACGGATTACTGTGAGGGCCTTCAGTCTCGGATATGGAGTCAGCTATTGCCCTACAATTGCAGCTCCCTGGAGGAGTTGGGCCAGATGTTCGTCTCGCAGTTGGGTAGACCGCAGCCGGAAAAGTGGTTGCCTCTGCAGCTGCACTACCCCGAGAAGCCTAATGGAACTCCACCGTCGATGCTGGGGGTTTACGATGATGTCCAGCAGAGCCTGACCTGTCGAAATATGTTCCTGAGCGTTAGATACGAGTTCCATGTCGCGGATCTGGCTTTGCTTGATGGAGCAGCCCCTCATCAACGGGTCCTGCAGAGCGCACGCCTTGTGCTGGGCCATCGGCATGACCTGGAGTTCGATGCTTCCGAGCAGCAGGTGGACCTGCCCCTGAGCGTCTCAGCCATGTTCTACCAATTGGAGCGGAGGGCACTAAGCCAGGCATCGGGAGTTTCAATTGCTGAACACATACTGCTAGTCGCTTTGCTAGTGGCGATTAACTTTTAGTTCTAGCCTTTGGATTCCATTAAAATTTGTGTAGAACTAATAAATTCATTTTCATTTTTTTAAATGAGAAAAAAACTATGCATTATTTTATTAAAATTAATTTTTGATGTGAAAAAAAGTATACAGATGAAATTAGAGAAAAGTTAATAATATATCTCAATATATTCCAGTCTCTTTAATTTGATGATATTCAATGTTTTAAAAAGATTTTTATTATTAGTGCTATCAACTACCAGCGGCAAAAATAATAATAATATTATTAGGCCATAGGCTGTTGTTTGAATATAACAGTCTTTCGACGCCAATGAATCGATAACTTATCGAGTGTCTGGTTGCCAGACTGTTAGGTTTCGATTGTCATGAGCGTTGAAGTGTGCCCAGTTACGTTTGGCTTTGTCAACAGAAAAGACGGCGGGCACACTACTGCCAATTTAAAGTTTTTTATAAACAAAGTGATAATACGTATATTCAGCATTTTCTTCAACAATAAATGAAGGAAACCAGATAATACAAAGGACTATTATATGGCAGATCATTCAGAACACAACCTAAGCACCAGCATGTGCGACATTGAAGAGGATCACGATATGTCGGCGTCGCTCCTTAACCACAACGTTCAAAGCTTTAGTAGCACCATGGTCATGTCCAGCGTGGAAAAGTCTCTACCCAAACTGAGTATTACTGTCTCGGATGCGGAGAAACTAAAACTAAAGCTACAAGTGTCCAACGTATCCGTGAACACAACCAAAGCTATGGGGGAGAGCCTGGTGGCCGAGATCTCGCTGGAGGACGAGGAGGAGGAGGAGGAAGATGAGAGCGATCCCATCATTGCAATAGAGGACACCTTGGAGCTTACGACACCGAGTATACCGGTGACTGCAGACGCTCCGGTTAAGCAAATGGATGTTCCAGTTGAGCCAGAGACAGCTCCTCCTCCCATTGAGTATTTCCAAGGCAGAATCATCGAACTGGGGCGGCGCTGCTGGACTTCGTCCGCGGATGCACAGCACTACACCAAGGGCTGCTACTGGTCCCCAGACGGAACCTGCCTACTAGTGCCGGTGCATCTGGATGGCATGCATGTTATGGAGCTGCCCGCCGATCTCTATTCCACACCAACGATCCAGACGACACGCGATCTGACGAAACTGCAGTCTGCGGTGCATGTGCCCGAAGGCGGCACGGTCTACGACTGCGTCTGGTACCCGCACATGAACAGCCAGCAGCCAGAATCCTGCTTGTGAGTAGTGCGCCCGCTAAAAGAACAAATCCAATTTAGTAACCACTTTCCTTTGCCTGCAGCTGGCTGGCCACGCGACAGCACGAGCCGATCCACATGTGGGACGCCTTCGACGGGAGGCTGCGATGCAGCTACAGCGGGTACGACGCTGTTGATGAAGTCATGGCAGCCATTTCGCTGGCCTTCTCCGCCGACGGGCAGCGAATCTTTGCGGGCTACAAGCGTTGCATCAAGATTTTCGATACAAGCAGGCAAGCGCCAAGCCCAGTGCCACCTTGCAACTCCTTTGACTCCTTTTTCCCTTGACCTTATTCCAGGCCCGGCCGAATCTGCGACGATTATCCTGTGAAGTTTGCCATCTCGTGCATTGCGCAAACCGGCGAAAGTCCAAACACCCTGACCTGCGGCAACTGGCACGGCTACATCCAACACTTTGACCTCCGCTGCGGCCCCAAACAGGGGCCGCTGTTCACCCTAGGTGGCCACAAGGGCGGAATTACCCAGCTGCGATACTCCGAGCGTGCGACCGGGGAGTGGTATCTGTTTAGCGGAGCACGGAAATGCGGCAAACTCCTGCAATGGGACATGCGCAACTACAAATCGCCGGTGGCAGAGTTCCAGCGCAACGTGGACACCAATCAGCGCATCCAGTTCGATCTCACGGCCGGTCACAGTTGGCTGCTCAGTGGCGACACAAGAGGTGCCCTCAATATGTGGGATCTTTGTGGTGACAGAGAAGGAACCGCACTGCCCCTGCACACTGATTGCTGCAACGGAATCGCCTTGAACCCAGTGCTGCCGATTCTGGCCACCAGTTCGGGGCAATACCACTTCATCGGCAACGATTCAGGTGACATGACCATGAACAGCACGGTAACCGTTGAAGAGGCCCAAAGGCCTCCAGAAGAGGATAATCTGCGGCCGGATCGGGAAGTGATGTATGAGAACTCGGTGGTTATGTGGTGGGTCGGCCCAAGTGCTCCCAATTGAGCACGATACATTTTGAGTAAAATACATAATAAAAAAGCCGTCTTTATTCTTGAATCCGATATGGAAATACTAAATGCGTCGTAGCAAGCCGCCCATTGACCTGAAATGTAGTTTTAAGTTTTAGTAAATATCTCCAGAAGCCGGAAAGACTTACCTAGAAGCGCTTGAGGAACTCCTCGGCACAGGTGCGAGCCCTGGCATTGACCGCCAGCTTCATCTCGCTGATCTCCTTGTCGATCTCCTCCATGAAGCTGATGACAAAGTCCACCAGCTTGTGCTTGTACATCTGCTCCGTGTGGAAGTTGGTGATCAGGAAGCTGATGTCGTACCCCTCGATGGGCTTGCGGCGCAGAATGATGAAGGATTCGGCGCGGCGCATCATGAATCGGGTGAACTTGTGGCATAGGATGCGCTCGATCTCGTCCGCCTGCTTCACCGCAATGCTAACGCGCACCGAGTTGATCGAGGGCTCGATCAGCACCTTCTCGCGCTCGTTCCGGGACACGACGACGGGCGTGAGAACCAGCTCCTTGCTGGAGCAGATCTCCACCTCCGGCTTGTTGTGCCGCTCGACCACCTGGGAGGGGAAGTCTTGCAGGCACATGGCCGCCGTCAGCGAGTGGCGCACGGCGGTCAGGTAGGGCTTGAGGGTGGCGGCCATTGTGTCGTGTGTGTAAAGGTAGGTGTGTGTTGTCTGTTGTGCACTTTTTACTTAATTTTTATTTTGTGATTCACAATCCGTTGGAATTTATCAGGCGTAGTGTGACCGCGGGGCATTGCCCGGAAAATACCAACAGGGAAATACTGAAACTTGGCGTTGCCAGATTTTACGTTCATGAGTAAGCGGTCTACCAGACCGCGCGTTCAATGTCCGTCAAATTAGCGTCGGTGAGTTAGCGTCGAAATGGAACGGTGGGAAATGGAACACGGAGCAGGTTTTTTATTTTTTAATAATTTCGTTATTAAGGCACTAATTCGAACAAAATAAAGTACCGACATGTTGAGAATTAAATTTACTATTGATTTATTTTGGGTTTGGGCAGTTTTGAGCAACGCTGGTACCTAAATTTTCCATTGGAAAAATCGAGTCCCCACCTTTTTCAAGATTTCGCACCCCCACATAGGATGTACCGCTAAGCACGGTAAGCCAGGTTTTGGGGCACATATTCAAGTATAATCTCAGAAAGTTTCATTAAAATCCTAACGACAGTTTTTGAGCAAATCGCTCAACAGTGGCCAAACCTATGGTTCCCCTCCATACAAAAACCGGCAGCAAAAGTTTAAGGTCGCCAAGCTTAGCTCTCAGAGGATGTACCACTATAACTGGCATATGGGCATATTGGGGAGCGAAAATAGAATATTTGGTGAAAATTTTATTAAAAACAAAACGACAGATTTTGAGAAAATCGCTTTACAGTTTTCCATTCAAAATGGCTGTTAGGAAGGCGCGAACTCCGGAACTGGAACCGGTCGTGAGCCAGTGGTTCAGCGCGCCACAGAACCGAACTAACTTTTAATAAATCGATTAATCCCCGCCAAAAAATATTTCCATTGACAATTTGAACAATTGTGTTAATTATGAATGCCCAATAAACGACATTGTCATTCTAAGCAATTTGGTAGGTGTTTTATCAAATTCCGTTCAGTCGTTCAGAAGAAAACGTCAATTTTTCATTTATTTACTTTTATGTAAGCAAAGTAAACCACCGATCGCCAAACGTGTGACGTCACACAACCCATGTTTCTCACCAATTGAATGCGCCAACCATGTTTTCGACGCTAACTTTTAATTAATTATTACAGATCTCACAGAGGATGTACCAACATGCACGGTATATCAAACGAATGCAAACATTAATTATGATTTTCTATATATATTTGAACGAGATCCTAACGACAGATTTAGAGAAATTCCAGTGTTTCTCTTCTGCAGGAAAATGGTAAGCACTTTTCGACGCTAACTTTTAATTACTTATTATAACTCTCACAAAGGATGTACCAACATGCACGGTATATCAAACGAAAGGGAACATTAATTAGGATTTTCTGTATTAATTTGAATAAGATCCTAACGACAGATTTTGAGAAATTCGTGTTTCTCTTCTGAAGAACAAATGGTAAGCACTTTTCCCAAACCGGTATGAGAACCGCATGGCGGCGCGGTATTTTCGACGCTAACTTCTAATTAATTATTACAACTCTCACAGAGGATGTACCAACATGCACGGTATATCAAACGAAAGGAAACATTAATTGGGATTTTCTGTATTAATTTGAACAAGATCGTAACGACAGATTTTGAGAAATTCAAGTGTTTCTCTTCTGAAGGAAGTACGGCAAGCTCTTTTCCCAAACCGGTATAAGAACCGCATGGCAGCGCGGTATTTTCGACGCTAACTTTTAATTAATAATTACAACTCTCACAGAGGATGTACCAACATGCACGGTACATCAAACGAATGGGAAAATTAATTCTGATTTTCTATATTAATTTGATCAAGATCCTAACGACAGATTTTGAGAAATTCACGTGTTTCTCTTATTTTCATAACACTGATTTTATATCGATGGGAGCGCTACGCCCTATCGATGAATCCCCGCCAGAAAATATTTCTATTGACAATTTGAACAATTGTGTTAATTATGAATGCCCAATAAACGACATTGTCATTCTAAGCAATTTGGTAGGTGTTTTATCAAATTCCGTTCAGTCGTTCAGGAGAAAACACCTTTTTTCTATTTATTTACATATATATACCAAGCGAATAATATATGTATACGGCAGCCCTGGCTGCCTATATATAATTAAATTTGATTTTATCTTTTGGATACGACTTATGCAAAGGGAAGATTGTTTCATAAACGACATCGTTTTTCTAAACATTTTAATCCATATTTCATCAAAATCCGTTCAGTCGTTTAGCAGAAAATCCATTTTTCTTGTTTTTTCGATTATTATTTAGGTACAAGTAGCGTTTTTTTTGCTTGTACCAACAAACACTGTACACTAAGTCACAGCGAAAATTCTGAATAAATTTTGGTAAAAATATCCAAACGTTTAAGCCAGTAGTTGTTAAGAAAATTAGTTTTTAAGATCCAATTGTATTCATAGGCTTCTGCAGCCCTGGCTGATCGACAAGTGTAATCGTCGAAGGTCTGGCAACATTCCAAAACTCCTGTTGCCGCGAGAAGAAGCTAATAACTTGGTTTTATCTTTCCGCAACAATTCTACTGTTTTTTAAGTTTTAATTTAAGTTATTATTATTATTAGCTTCTTCTCGCGGCAACAGGAGTTTTGGAATGTTGCCAGACCTTCGACGATTACACTTGTCGATCAGCCAGGGCTGCAGAAGCCTATGAATACAATTGGATCTTAAAAACTAATTTTCTTAACAACTACTGGCTTAAACGTTTGGATATTTTTACCAAAATTTATTCAGAATTTTCGCTGTGACTTAGTGTACAGTGTTTGTTGGTACAAGCAAAAAAAAAACGCTACTTGTACCTAAATAATAATCGAAAAAACAAGAAAAATGGATTTTCTGCTAAACGACTGAACGGATTTTGATGAAATATGGATTAAAATGTTTAGAAAAACGATGTCGTTTATGAAACAATCTTCCCTTTGCATAAGTCGTATCCAAAAGATAAAATCAAATTTAATTATATATAGGCAGCCAGGGCTGCCGTATACATATATTATTCGCTTGGTATATATATGTAAATAAATAGAAAAAAGGTGTTTTCTCCTGAACGACTGAACGGAATTTGATAAAACACCTACCAAATTGCTTAGAATGACAATGTCGTTTATTGGGCATTCATAATTAACACAATTGTTCAAATTGTCAATAGAAATATTTTCTGGCGGGGATTCATCGATAGGGCGTAGCGCTCCCATCGATATAAAATCAGTGTTATGAAAATAAGAGAAACACGTGAATTTCTCAAAATCTGTCGTTAGGATCTTGATCAAATTAATATAGAAAATCAGAATTAATTTTCCCATTCGTTTGATGTACCGTGCATGTTGGTACATCCTCTGTGAGAGTTGTAATTATTAATTAAAAGTTAGCGTCGAAAATACCGCGCTGCCATGCGGTTCTTATACCGGTTTGGGAAAAGAGCTTGCCGTACTTCCTTCAGAAGAGAAACACTTGAATTTCTCAAAATCTGTCGTTACGATCTTGTTCAAATTAATACAGAAAATCCCAATTAATGTTTCCTTTCGTTTGATATACCGTGCATGTTGGTACATCCTCTGTGAGAGTTGTAATAATTAATTAGAAGTTAGCGTCGAAAATACCGCGCCGCCATGCGGTTCTCATACCGGTTTGGGAAAAGTGCTTACCATTTGTTCTTCAGAAGAGAAACACGAATTTCTCAAAATCTGTCGTTAGGATCTTATTCAAATTAATACAGAAAATCCTAATTAATGTTCCCTTTCGTTTGATATACCGTGCATGTTGGTACATCCTTTGTGAGAGTTATAATAAGTAATTAAAAGTTAGCGTCGAAAAGTGCTTACCATTTTCCTGCAGAAGAGAAACACTGGAATTTCTCTAAATCTGTCGTTAGGATCTCGTTCAAATATATATAGAAAATCATAATTAATGTTTGCATTCGTTTGATATACCGTGCATGTTGGTACATCCTCTGTGAGATCTGTAATAATTAATTAAAAGTTAGCGTCGAAAACATGGTTGGCGCATTCAATTGGTGAGAAACATGGGTTGTGTGACGTCACACGTTTGGCGATCGGTGGTTTACTTTGCTTACATAAAAGTAAATAAATGAAAAATTGACGTTTTCTTCTGAACGACTGAACGGAATTTGATAAAACACCTACCAAATTGCTTAGAATGACAATGTCGTTTATTGGGCATTCATAATTAACACAATTGTTCAAATTGTCAATGGAAATATTTTTTGGCGGGGATTAATCGATTTATTAAAAGTTAGTTCGGTTCTGTGGCGCGCTGAACCACTGGCTCACGACCGGTTCCAGTTCCGGAGTTCGCGCCTTCCTAACAGCCATTTTGAATGGAAAACTGTAAAGCGATTTTCTCAAAATCTGTCGTTTTGTTTTTAATAAAATTTTCACCAAATATTCTATTTTCGCTCCCCAATATGCCCATATGCCAGTTATAGTGGTACATCCTCTGAGAGCTAAGCTTGGCGACCTTAAACTTTTGCTGCCGGTTTTTGTATGGAGGGGAACCATAGGTTTGGCCACTGTTGAGCGATTTGCTCAAAAACTGTCGTTAGGATTTTAATGAAACTTTCTGAGATTATACTTGAATATGTGCCCCAAAACCTGGCTTACCGTGCTTAGCGGTACATCCTCTGTGGGGGTGCGAAATCTTGAAAAAGGTGGGGACTCGATTTTTCCAATGGAAAATTTAGGTACCAGCGTTGCTCAAAACTGCCCAAACCCAAAATAAATCAATAGTAAATTTAATTCTCAACATGTCGGTACTTTATTTTGTTCGAATTAGTGCCTTAATAACGAAATTATTAAAAAATAAAAAACCTGCTCCGTGTTCCATTTCCCACCGTTCCATTTCGACGCTAACTCACCGACGCTAATTTGACGGACATGCGCGTTCATTAGCGACCAGCGTTACCAGATGTCGGTATTATCATTCAGTAGTTTGGGGGAATCCCCCTTAAGCTTTGTGATACTCCACTTTGCAATACCCTTTCTGAAATTTCTAAATAAACAATTATTCCGTCATTTTACACAGACTTTGCACAACCTCTAAAATATTATAAATATAATTTAATAAATATTAATGGCAAATATCCTAAAATCTGACATTTTATAAAATAATTTTATTTTTCCTTGTGATACATATAAGATAAAGCCGTGAGTTTTTTAAAAAGTTAAAATCGTAAATTACAAATTACTTACCTTTTCGCTTAGCTCGGTTTCAGGGAACTAATTAGTTTCGCCTCACAATTTATTCAGTACGAATTAATAATAAACTTTCCTTTGTCATTGAATATATGAAATTAAGCTTATATTTTACCCCAAATTATACTGGTCGAAAATCTAACTAAAAGCCACCAAAAAAGTTTTTAAATTAAAATTACAAATGATTTATATACCAATTATAAATATCTCATTTATTTGTATTATGCACTTTTATTATACATTTATTATAAGAGTTTTTGCTTGCTTATATGATCATTTATTTGTTGGTTGCTTATGTAATCTTAATTAATGTTATGCAAGCAACTTAAAAATCAAGTTTTCGTAAGCAATCGAATTTTTTTTGGGTTATGTGGTAAATGTAAACACAAACGTTTTCATTTTGCATACAAAAGTTTCCATCGGCTTAAATATTGCATTTGATTATATATAAATACATAGTAAATTGAGTAAATATCGAAGCATTTTATCAATTGTATTGATTTACTTGCAATGGTTTACCTTTTATTTTTCTCTTTTTTCTTAAAGGTTTTTGGGAAAGCTTTCACATGTCTTGGGTAGAGTTGTTGTTTGTGCCTGTGCGTGTAGAGTTTGTGTTGTGTTGCGAATGTCGTAATATATTTTTTATTGGGAGAGCAGTTTGCGTGGGGTTATTCATTTGTAGTAGCCATATGTAGTTTTACACGAATACACAATTTATATGGTTTAAGAGATATAAGCTTAAGCTAGCCTGGCAGAGTCTTCGGGTGGCGAAATGAAAACGAAAGTACTCTCAGGTCTTGCGTCAAAAATTTTGCCTAAATGTTCGTCTTGCTTGTTTCTTCAACTTATTCCCCACTAATTTTGAATTAACCCATAATACCGAGGCCAAAAATCCTCGCCTCGCCTCGCCTTTTTCTAAATACTTGACGTTAGACAAAATATGCATTTTCATATATTTTTACATATACGAAATATGTTTGTAAGTATTTTTTATTGTATCGTGTTTTGTTTGTTTATTAATATTAATGCCTAATTGTTAATGCTTTTTGTAAATAAAACAAAAATGCCTTTTGTGTAGTATCTTTTTTTCAATTTTCCCGTTTTTATTTAATTTTATATAAGCATTCCTTATGTATTTCCTCAGCTTGACACTTATGCATTTATGTGTAGATACAAAATGCGAACACATAAAAAATATATACGTTACGTTTGCGTTTTTTGATTGTTATTCTTTTTATTTTGTGAAAATTAATAAATTAAATTATACATATACTTTATAAAAAAGAAAGATCCATTGAAAATGATTTTCTTGCAAAAGCAATGCAACTACAATTTAAAGAGGCAATTACATTTCAAGTACACATGGCTGTTGGGGTTTCGAGCAAATTATTTCAAAATACATTTATAATAGCAACGATCAATAAAGCAAAAAGGAACTGCAAATTTCAAAATGTAAAACAAAGTAAAAGCTATAAAGTTCGTAACTTTAAAAAAAGAAAACAAAAAACCGGTAAATTTAAAGCGAATTAAAAATTAAATGGCCTGCGCTTGATTTTTTCACCAGGCTTTTTTTTTTCTGTTTAGTGTAAATTTCCTTTAATAAATGTATTTTGCATTAATTTGCCGTATGCAATAGTTTTTGTTGCTTTTCCTTTTGATGTTCGTGACTCCCTGCACGCTTTTCGGAGTCTTGAGCCTTTCCACTCGTCGCCTTTCCATTTCTCTTTTTTTTTATAATACTTGAAATTTTTTTTGAAGCTTATTGGTTTCTGCTTAAATGTTGTTTGTTCTTTTTAAGTTTTTTTTTTGTTTTTGTTTGAGAAATATGCCTGTGTATGCAGTGTGGTTGTTGTTGTTGCTGTTGTTTCTGTCGTAGTTGCTTTTATTTGCATTAGTAGTAATGTCGATCCATGCTCTGCATAGCTCGCGGTGCATGGCATCTTGCACTCTAACCGGAGGAGGCAATGGGGCTCTGCTGGCCGTCCATATCCTGGGCCTGAGCCTTGTTCTGGCGCACCAACTCGGCGCGACGCTCCTGCAAAAAATAATAAAAAAGAGTAAGGTGGGAATTAATTTGCAGCTAATGCAACTACGTCTGCTAATAAAAGGATAGTCCAAGGATAAGGCTTAATTTTGTGGTCAGAAACGTACTAGTTTTTGAACTTTATCAATTTTTTTCTGTAATTCCTGTTCACGCTTCAGTTCGGCGGCGAACAATTTGTTCTCATAGAGGCGTGCCTTCTCCTCGAGCTTTTGACATTCCAATTGATCGTTCTGCGATTTGATTTCGGCAATTTTGATTGTGTTCTAAATGAGAGGATATAAGAGAAATGAAACCAAATAAATGATATGTACATGAGATCAAACACAAATATTTACATCTAGAATATACCACATACAATTTCATGTTTATAATGTAAACGAAAAATGATTATTTTTGACTTTTATTTGGGGGATTTACATGTATTAATGGCTGATGCAAATGAAGTAGTCGAAGGTAAGACAATAATAAATAAATAGCGAAAATATCCCTTCCATTGTATAAAAAAAAACTAGTAAATTCCTAATCATTTATATAGACATTGCATTTTTTGCAGACACTCACATGCTCCTTTAGACGATCCAACATTTTCTTGATATTCTCATCGCGCAGCGACTGGGCAATTTTTAACTTCTCCTCGATGGCCTTTTGCTCATTGGCCTTCTGCTGCTCTAAAGTCTCACGCGTCTTCTCTATCTCCTGGGCATGGATCTGCAGGAAAACAAATTATTTTTAATGGCAAAGGTAAAAAATATGCAATATACCTTTAGTTTTTCCTTCATATCGCTAATAATGGCTTCTCTCTTCTCCACATGCTGCTCCATTTTGGACTCCAGCTGCTCCTTGGTCTGAGTGATGAACTCATTAGTGATTTCATCCTTTTTGCGAGTGGCCTCCTCAACCTTGGCCAGCTTACTGGATATATCGGCCATTTTCTTGGCCTCCAGAGACTGCAAAAGATAACGTAACATGATATTTCGTTATTATTTCTAAATGCAAAACTGTTTTGAGATAAGAAAAAGCTAGAACTTTATAAAGCCCAACTGGCGCTAAAATCGAAAGTGGATAACAGAGATTCGTTTATATCTACTTACAATGCGACGCTCTTCGGCGGCCTTTAGCTTTTGCTCAATCTCCTCCACGCTGACGTTCTTGCCGGGGGTGACCGGACGCTTAGGCACGGCCACATTGGGTGCCGGCTCGGCCAGGATGACCTCATAGCTAAGGCCTCCTCGAGACTTCTCCTGGCAGCGAATTTCAGTGGCTGTGTGGCGAAAAACAAAAGGAGAGAAGGAGGCTTGGTTACAGTAATTCAATATTTGTGCATTGGGGTGCCGCCTTGGATAGTTGCGGTTGAGGGTGGACGGTCGTATCTGGTTGTTGTTACCCTTAGCTCAGCTTTTTTCTCCCCCCATCTGAGTAGAGTGACGTCATTTTTGCAGTTTGTTATTCCCTTGCAGAGGATATGATGATATTAGTCATAGGTTTGCAATGCAGGGAATGAGAAATCAAATGGTTCCTCGAAAATATAAACATTTTTCTCATATATGTACCCCTATCCCACCTTTTTTACGGTTTTAGAAACAACGGAGATACGTGAATAGACATAATTCCTATATGTACGCATGTTTCAGGAAGGCAAAAGACATTCTGACGTATTCCCTAACTCTTCTACTGCCCCTGTTGCAGTTGTACACTCACCCACATTGCTTTCCCCCGTGAATTTCTTGCCTGCTGACTCTGACCGGTTCATGGCCAGCAGAATGGCAAGCAGGGCTTGGCCATCCGCATGATCGCCATGCTTCATTGCCACATGTACTTGCAACTCCTCGCCGGTGAAGCCCATCTCATCGCAGAAAGGACACTTATAGCTCTGCGGAGCTTCGCCATTCACCAGAGTTTCCCCGCTGAAGAACAGCTCGAAATGGGCCTGATTGTAAATGGCCTTCATGGGATGATAGTATTTGTGGCCGTCCGTCGGTCTGTTGCGGCCCTCGTCGAAGCAACGGCCGCAATAAATGACCTCCGATCCGCACAAAACGCACTCGTATCGGCGACCCAGGTCTCCCTCGGCCAAGCAGCTTAGGCACTTTCGATGCATCGCCGCCAAATTGGAAGCCATTTTGCTCTACAACCGCGTACTGGGAGTGGATCCAAATAAATACAAAAAAAACACAAACAGAAAACTGGGATACTGGATACTCCGATCAATATTTTTTCTGGCTAGCTTTTGTAACGACTAATATCGAGCGAATACTTTAGATTATATAAACACAACAGAGCACCGGCTGGTGGAACTGAAAAAGCTCTGGTAACTTTGATTTCAAATAAGGGAAAATGTGAGATAGACCTGTCTTTGAAATTCATTTTTCCCCAATTAAAATTTTACGGCAGTTCTATCTGATTTTTGTGGCATTTAATGTTTTTATTATAATTTTTGTAATTATAAATAAATGCCTTCATTTAGTTCGTTACTGCGCATTTGTTCAAAAACCATCGTTCTCGTCCATGATAGCACCGATGCCCTCAATGATACGGGCCATGTTTAATTCCAAAAGCTCAGAGTCCAATCTACCAGGCTCTTGGATTTCTGGATTGACTGTCGAAAGCGATTCATTCCCGTTTCCCAGCATGCCACTGCCAACACCAAAGTCCCCGTTTGAGTTCGAATCGGAGTTTATGAGTGACGATTCAGCACCATTCTCATCTGTCGAAAAACTTTCGTTCGGTTTATCCATCTTGGCCTTGTATTTGTCGAGACCCTTGTAAAACCGAAACATTTCCTTCATGAATGGCTGCTCCATTGGCGAAATCTTTTTTTCTGTCTGTAGTTTCAACAAAGGGAAATAAAATCTTTTCGTATTCATTAGCTGGGTCTTTTTAGCATCTAAGCACAACGGCTTCATTGGCAATGGGATGAGCTCTTCGTCCGCCAGCATCGAACAGAGTATGGCCTCAACGAAGTTCGCCTGGAGCTGCTTGATGACGACGCGGCTGCGGTTTGGTGGTGGTTTTCTGTCCACTAAGAATTGGGAGCAGAGGAAGCGCTCATTGTCAGGAATCTTATTTTGCTCCTGCTGGTCTTCCTGAGTATCTTGAGAAACCTTCGGTGGCTTCGATGACAGCAGGGCTTGGCGATATTTACCAGGTCCCACCACGCACGGCATAGCAGTGTCTTCGTTTCCATCCATGGCCTCCAGCTCACGCAAAGCGTTAAGGTAGAGTGTGCGATTGGTCACCAAGGCTGTGGGTGTGGCAGCGGTATGCATTCCCACTGGTCCATTGGAAGCTGGAACAATGCTCGTTGCGCCATTCCTTTGATTTAGGCGCACGGATGCGGTAGCTTCGCGATCAAGTCGCAGACGGCGCTCGCAAAGACCGGTGGCCACCTCGTGCTCAATTTGACTGACGTATTTTTGCACAGCCTTTTCCATCTCCCCATCTTTCTGCTGGGCTTGAAGCCAATGGGCCCGCTTCATGATCCGCACACAGAGATGTGGAAACTCTGGGGCAGTTATGCTAAGCCTTTTCATCTGCACCAGCAATTGAGCCAGGCTCAAGCCATGACTGCGCCCTGACTGTTCCGGTGACAAAACAAATTCAATCAACCGCTCTTGCAAGCCCAGTTCCCTGTTCTGCCGCAATTCTGCAGGGCTCATTCGTTCCGTCTCGTTATAGGCGCTCACCAGTTCGGCGTATTCATCGTAGTCCGGATGGGTAAGATGAACCTCCGAGAGGTGCTTGTACAGGGCGCCGCTAGTAAGGCCTCGGAGTTCACACAAGGCACACTTGTAGCTCTGGAACGAGGGACTGTCAGCGGAGTAGGTCTCGCCCTGAAAGTACAGCTGGAACGCGGCTCGGGTATAATGTACCTTCATCGGATGGTAGTACAGATGGTGGTCATCTTCCGGGACAAGATTGGTGTCAAAGCAATCGCCGCACAAGTTGTACCCTGGGCACACTCCGCAGCTGTAGCGGCGCCCCGGAAAGTTGGCCACAGTGCAGTTGCAGCATTCGAACCCAAAGTGGCGCTCTGGTGGTATTTGCAAGCTGGCCATTTCGCTGGGGAGGAGGGAAGGGTACAGGTAAAGGTTTATGAAGCTATCTAAATAACTGGATGGCGGCAGCAGCTCTTTTAAGCTTGACAAATTTTAGCAAGAAGATCCGAAAAACACGTGCTGGTTGTCATTGCAGTGTTCCGGAAAATGGACGCCCTTTTGCAGAATTTGTGTTTACGAAATGCGATGCGTTTATTTGTGAAGAAGACTCACATGAAGCCGGCAAAAAAGAGAAAGCTCTGAACCAGCCTTGTAAAGTGTTTCGTTAGATGTATTTTATTAAACTTACATGTCTCGGAATAAGCCTTAAAAAAGCTTGAATATATTCTTCAATTAAAAAAAAACGTCCGTTGACAGCCAAGTTTTGTGCGCACAAGTTCGTAATTCTTCTAAACCGGCGCTGCCAACTCCTATTCGCAAAAATCCCAAGAAATTAGGGAGTCTTGCACGTTGATATTTTGGATTGTTAACTGGTCGAATAATGTGAATTTACTTTAAAGTTTCGCCTGATTAATAAATCAGAGCGTTATAGACATTTTTGTAAGGGAATATTTTGTTTATTCCCTTTGTAAATTTTGCAATGTTTGTTTTGATTTTAACAAAAATTCCTAGAAAACAAGCCATTTCAACCAGGACTGCATATTGCAAGTCTGCAGTGGAAAAATTAGTAAAATACTCCCATTTACTTGATTGTAAAACAAAAAACCTTCTTGTTTCATTAATTTGTTTGGGATGAGAACATATCACAAGTTTCATCGAAATACAAAAAATAAACGGTGGTAAAAACCAGCGTAAGAAGGCTAAAATAGCCACTTTTCTTAAAAGAAAAAGAGAACTAAATGCTAATAGAAACAGATTAAATTTCAATGGTGTTTAGTTGAAATTAACATATAGTGGATATGCACAATTTTCACACTTTGCCTCCATTTTTTCAAAGCATTTATGGAATGTTTGTACATCAAACATACCTAACAGGGCTCATTCCATACATTTAGTAAAAACCCCTCTGTACTCAACGAGTACCAGTATGAGCAGCAACATAAAATCCGTCCACATTCAGACACACCAAGGCGCAAATTGTTGACCTCAATTAAAATATTTTGCACCTTTTTCCGGCAGAGAAAGCAAGAAAGAGAGTTTTGCCATTTGCTCACAAAAGTGGAAATAAAATGAGCCGTTGACATTTCGCATATTTAATTAAAAATCCTGACCATAACGTGTGCCAATTCAGATCATTCAGGCTTTTGGTTCGCAATAACATCCAAAATTGATCCTATGGGGGTAGTTGAATAAATGATTTAATATACCTGGGAATCAAAAGTGTGAACATTGTACATACACGTTAGTAGCGAATTATTGTTATTATTTTTAGAGATTGAATTTGTAAATCAGCTAGAAAACATCAGCCTTTTTTCATTTTTAATATTATTAATTCATTATCCCCAGCACTGCACAAGTTTTACACTTAACGAGATAGGAATTTAAAAGAAAAGTTTTTGAACAACTTTTTTTTGTAAGAACCTTCATATGTAAATATGTGTAAAGCCAAATTTCAACTTTATGAATTTAAGTGGATCTTTTAGCATAAAAACTTTTCAATAAAACTCTGGTGCGCTCATAAGAGCAAAAACTATAAGAGCTTTCTTCTGTTGCCTCTTGCATAATATTCATAAAAGCATTTTAATTTATATTTAATTGCTTTATTCGTCTGAGTCAGCACTTGTAAATGGGGGATGCAAGGGTGTGGTGCCAGGACGACTTCCACCTCATTATCACCATTTTTGGGGAATGTATCAAGGCAGAAAGTTTATTGGTCGTACCACGCAAGTTATGCTCTTCGCTCGAAGGTTTAATTAAAATGTGCCAACCAAGATAATTTGCTTTGCAAATTCCAGCAGGATTGAAATTTATACTATTACATCCGTTGTGCAGCAGAGCAGTTAGATCGATGTCTGTTTAACGACTTTACTTACTATTCAAGCTCAAAGTGATGGCCACCATTTTGGATAACAGGAAACCGGAAACAGTGCTTATTTAGTGCCGAACTAGGCAGACAAATTGTTTAATCCTTTTAGCTCTTAGACTTTTTTCCTCTTCCACTAAACTGTTGACGCGCAGGAATTTGCCAACTGAACGAACAGAGCAACTGAGCGAAGTGAAGGACTTTGCAACTGTGATGCCGGCAACGGACTACAACCAAGCGACACAAAAAATGAATCATGTATGCCTTGGGCCGTTTCTGCAACGTTGTTGTCCAAGCTAAATGTAGTTTCAATTTTTGTCGCGTAGCGTGTCCTTTTTGGCATGCACTGCAAAGCCAATATCAAACGGTGGCTGCTGTCGCTTTTAGGGTAACTCGTTCTTGTTTTTGCTAGTTTTTGGCGACAGTTTTACGTCTGGCTGGCAAAAAAAAAAAAAAAGCACTCTCAACATCCTTCAGCCCTTTTTGTCGGCCCCGCCTTGAAGCAAGTCGATTTGTGGCGCTTAACTGCATTCGGTTGCCAGTTGAGAAGAACAATATGGCCAAAACAAGGGAAAGATATCCAAGAAGCTTAGAAATTCACTATTAGCTTCATAGCAGAGGTCCTAGTAGATCTATTCCTAAACAATAACGGATCTTAAAGGTTAAGTAAATTACAGTTTTAATCACTTCAGTCTACCGATCTTCGGTGCTATACCCCCAAGCAGTACTAATAGTTCATAGAAATCGCTATTCAAGCATGAAAAACACCATAATAAAGAAATATGTGTCGTTTTAAACATATAATAATGTTTTGCTAAGATCACCAAGAAGTATAAGTTGTTAATGAAGGTTTTGATCTAATTTTTCTTAAAAACAAAACTTGAGAAGAAAGTTTATTACATACAACTAGGCACCACCGACAGCGCTCTTTTATTCAGTTTTTATGGGTTTCCAGCTGCTGTTAAGGGGTATAATGTTTTAAACCTTTAGTTGCAGAAACTTACCTGTAAAGAGAATAAAAAATAAATCAATTGTTAGCAAGATAAACCAAAAAGTGAGTAGATGATTTGCAGATTATATACTGTAATTAAGAATAGTTATACATTACATTATATTAAGTCTACTTTAACTTTATAAATTTGTCATAAGGGAGTAGCTGGACTAGTGACTTAGGTAGTATCTTAGATAAACATCTAAAAACTTACTAATTTTAAATTAATTTACCAAAAATCTTAAAACTGCTTAAAATACATATTTTTATAAACCCATTTTTCAGAAAAAAACCAACTTATCTTTTGGTTTTTTATGCCGTGTGGCCTATTCCGCTCCAGACAGGTACGTAACCAAATGGCAGAAGAAACTTCCTGCCGTTTTTAAGACGCCTTTATTGCATTGCCTTTCTACACGTGACCGGGCAAGTTTTGACTCAGGCTAGACATAATCAAATAGGAAGAAAAGTAGCATACATATATATACATATATCTGTAGTTATGCACATGCAGGTATCCATCCGGTTCGACAACTGCAAACGACGTAGTGTCATGAAGTGTTTATTTTTGCGATAAAAACCTGCCAGCATGAAAAGTCTGTCGAAGGCCTAAAAACAAATTTAAGTTATCAAGTCTCCTCTTTGCCACTGCAGTGTTTCTCCTTGGGAATTTCGCTCTATGCGCTTTACAACTACATCCACCAAACTTGGCTGTAAATGCATACATACTTGAAATAGTTGGTTTTTATGGAAAAGGTCATAGCACTATTGATTTTCCAATAGTTTGCGCAGTTCTCTTTGCTCCATTTCACATTTGCTTGCCGGCTTTTCTTTGGTTTTAGATGGATTTCAAAATGACGTTAAGTGAGCCCTCGAAAGAGTCGGATTATTATCGGATTTAGTCCTATTTTTAAAAGCGGGTGCGATTTAAGGATTTGAGAGCCGGCTTCCTTGTACTTTAATCCAACAAAAAATGTATTGCATACTTTCCGATAGCAAGGTACTTTTGCGATGTCTTCAATTTCATTAAACAAATAATTCTTAAAATAATGCCCTTAAAATTTTTAAAGCTTTATCTTTACACAGCAACGAAAACATAGCGTCAATGCCCTCGTAACCACAAGGGAAGCCAACAAACTTGCCGGCTGGGCAAACAATCCTGTTTATAGGGGAAATCCGCCCCATTCGCTCACAGCGCGTAGTTCGCACTGCTGGCAGCTAATAACAGTATCAAACCAAACAACAAAGCAAAGAACACAAGTAAGCAAGTTGTATTATTTCCTACATTCAGCAGTTGAAACGAAATTAGCAACAAAGCAGCCCGCATTTTGCCAAAGTACAGAATTATTTCTGACGAATGTAAGCACGTGTGGGGCATTATTAAGGACAAAACGGGGAAGGATACGCAAAACAGAGTGACAAATTTAAGTACACTACAGGCGTCTAAATGAAGAAAACGGAACAATAGCATCCATTTATATGCTGTTGTTGTTGATGTTTCCTCTGCCATAAACGGAAGTAAAAGGGGATCACAAAAAAAAAATGTGAAAGCTGAAGGAATTTACACGAGCTACGCCCCAAGACTGAAAACTTAATTTCTGTTGAATGTGTCGCCGGTTTTGGTGGGTACACAAAGGAAATAAAGATGAAATGCTTGGGGAGGTCGGAAAACTGTGCAGAAAGCCGGCTAGAAATGTTGGTAAATTACCGTAAAATGTTTATACACAAAGACAAAATAAGTCACCAAAAGTTTTTTACTACTTTAAAGTTTTCTTTTAATTCGATACCGTTATATAATGTTTGATACTTGTATATCACAAGTCCTGAAATGTATATCATCCCAAGAAGCAACAGTGAAGCTACCAACTTAGTTATATTATAATGTCCTGAAAATTTTACTTAAATTTCTAGGTAATAAACATAGACATAAGTTTAATTGTATGATAAATTTAAATATTAAAATAAATATTATATTTATTTAGGCTCTTTTTTGGCAGAGTCCGATATATATTAAACAGATAATCGATAACTTGCAGTGTTCAAAAAAACAATTCGATTTCGTACCGATAATAAATATTTAGTGCCATATAACTGCCTACATGCTGAAGTTCACGGGTACTTTCGAGGGCAAACTACTCATATTATTCGTATTATTCCGTCCCCCCCCCTTGGTTCCAAGATTGTTTTATGGCCAATAGCAATTTAGTTTATTAGCCGCCAACATGCAGGTGAAGTAGAAATCCTCCCCCAGAGCGCAGGACAGCTAGGGCAGATTGTGTGCGTGCCCAGGGGTGTGGTGGATTGTCGACGGTAATTAAACCTGAAACTATGAAGCCTTATAGTGGAAACGTTCGTCAATGTGGCGCCGCACGTTGATATTGCCGCAAATCGAATGCTTCATACTTCCGGCCGGCTTTCGATGACGAATAAGCTCAGCTAATGGCAACTAGTTCCCTACACTTGCCCGTACAAGAACTCAATATTTTCCAAAATCCAAGACAAATATTTTCTCTGAGTGCAGCAATTGTGCAGTAGCAACGCTTAACAACGAACCAGGATATAAGGCTTAAGGGAGATATGTAGCTGTCAGAAAGGGGAGCACCGA